GAAGTATTATGTAGATATGTAGATGTAGACATTTCGACGGGACTTAGTGTTCTCCCTCTTATTGTAGGTTTATTCCTTTATTGTGTTCAATCTCAGTTTATGGAAAAATCATACATACCCAATAAAACACTTCTTGATAAATATTTAAATATTTATTAGAAGATGTTCGGAGGGCATAACAATCCTTTCTTTTCCGCAACAGTGATGTTTCTTTGATTTTTACCTGTGAACATTTCTCAATTGGTTTGGTATATACGTGTGATAACTGTAATGTTCCAGATTTCAATGAACATAATATTTTCATTAATGATAAAAACTTTCAAGTCAGTCTTATGAGTATACGGACATAATAAATTGTTCACAACTTTACTAAATTTAAAATTTAAAATACTAATACCCCTTTAATTATGACCTCTTGCTTGAAGTACTTGAAAAACACACAAAAAAAATTAACATTGACTAATGCACAATGAAATTGAGGAAAAGGTCAGATGAAACCTGCCAGACTGACATGTACTTCTTACAATCATTCCATACACCACATATAAAGTTGACGTACTCTTTAAGTATCTAGAAAACAAACCTAATCATGTAATCACTGATCCATGAAACAAGGTCGAGGTCAGATGAATCCTTTCTGATGATTCTGAAGACTGCAAGGAACCCATGTACCATCTATTGCAATCCTATTACTCATAAGTGAGTAATTCACACAATTTAAAAAAAAAATTTTTCAAGCAGTCCGTGAACCATAATCAAAGCACTGTAAGCGCTGTAGGCAGTTAACCAAAAACCAAGGCAAACGTAATTATGAAAACTGTGGCAGTGTTGCTTCAATTTTTTTTTCAAGATTTGAAAGAACAAACATTAAACATTCGTATATTGTACATTTATGTTCATCTAATGAATTGATTATTAAGGCAAATTAATTAACATTTCATCAAGGTTTTCAAAAGCAACTCATATATCAATGTAAATGACCCCCATCTTCACCCCCATATGTATGATGTTACTTCATACCAAGTTTGGAATAAAATGACAGGTGATTATAAAACAGTTGGTCAAACATTCTCGGGCTTTACACTGCTTGAAAGATTTATATGTTTTCTTTAAAATGAGACATAAATGAAAATTATTATAGGCCCAGAAATAATTTATTAATAGTTAAAGTAAATTCAATTAACCTAGACTCATTTTTTGCATCAATAAAATTTTATAATAAACAAGAAATAATTGTAACAGGATGCCGTTACGAAGTCTCCCAAACAAAGCCCTCATAATTCATCATTCCCATGGTCTCCTGACATTGGGCAAAGTCCAGTTCATATTGGTTTGGTCTAGTAAAGTGATATGCATATGTGACACCTAGGAGATTGACGCTGTATGTCATTCAAATCTTTTTGAAATGATGAACAGAAATAAATATGGTTTAGGTGTGGGGATCTCGACCATTTCCAAGTTCTCAAACAGGAGGGGGTGGGGTGACCCCAGGGACTCCCCAAATATTTCATTTGATTTGTTATATTGTCCCATACATGAATATATATGGTTTAGGGGTGGGGATCTTGACTGTTTACAAGTTCTCAAACAAGAGGGGGGTGGGGTGTCCCCATGGACTCTCCCTATATTTCATTTGATTTGTTTTATTGTCCAATACATGACAAGAAATAATTGTAACAGGATGCTGTTACGAAGTCTCCCAAACAAAGCTCCAATAATTCGTCATTCCCATGGTCGCCTGACATTGGGCAAAGTCCAGTACAAATTGGTTTGTGATATGCATAAGTGACGCCTATGGATTAACCCTGTATGTCATTCAAATCTTCTTGAAATGACGAACAGGAATATATATGGTTTAGGGGTGGTGATCTCGACCGTTTACAAGATAAAAGCACATTCTCAAATTGAAGGGGGGTGGGGTAAGAATATAAGGGGGGGTGTGTGATCCCCAGGGGACTCGCCCTTTATTTCATATGATTTTTTTTGTCCCATACAAGAATATATATGGTTTAGGGGTGGGGATCTCGACCGTTTACAATTTCTTAAACAGGAGGGGGTGGGGGTGACCCCAGGGGACTCGCCTTTTATTTCATTTGATTTGTTTTATTGTCCCATTCAAGAATATATATGGTTTAGGGGTGGGGATCTTGACCGTTTACAAGTTTTCAAAAAGAAAGGGGGCGGGGTTACTCCAGGGGATTTCCCCTAAATTTCATTTGATTTGTTTTATTGTCCCATACAAGAATATATATGGTTTAGGGGTGGGGATCTCAACCGTTTACAAGTTCTCAAACAGGAGGGGGTGGGGGTGACCCCAGGGGGCTCGCCTTTTATTTCATTTGATTTGTTTTATTGTCCCATACAAGAAAATATATGGTTTCGGGGTGGGTATCTTGACCGTTTACAAGTTGTCAAAAAGAAGGGGGGTGAGGGTGACCCCCCTGGACTCCCCTATATTTCATTTGATTTGTTTTATTGTCCCATACAAGAATATATATGGTTTAGGTGTGGGGATCTCAACCGTTTACAAGTTCTAAAACAGGAGGGGGTGGGGGTGACCCCAGGGGGCTCGCCTTTTATTTCATTTGATTTGTTTTATTGTCCCATACAAGAAAATATATGGTTTCGGGGTGGGTATCTTGACCGTTTACAAGTTGTCAAAAAGAAGGGGGGTGAGGGTGACCCCCCCTGGACTCCCCTATATTTCATTTGATTTGTTTTATTGTCCCATACAAGAATATATATGGTTTAGGGGTGGGGATCTCGACCGTTTACAAGTTTTCAAGAAAAAGAAAAAGAAGAAGAAGAATAATAAAAATAATAAGAACTGAGCAAAAACAATAAGTCTCCAAACTTTGTTTGGGAGACTTAAATATATATGGTTTAGGGGTTGGGATCTCGACCATTTCCAAGTTCTCAAACAGGAGGGATGGGGTGACCCGAGGAACTCCCCATATATTTCATTTGATTTGTTATATTGTCCCATACATGAATATATATGGTTTAGGGGTGGGGATATTGACTGTTTACAAGTTCTTAAACAGGAGGGGGTGGGTGTCTCCAGGGACTCCCCCTATATTTTATTTGATTTGTTTTATTGTCCCATACATGAATGTATATGGTTTAGGGGTGGGGATCTCAACAATTTCCAAGTTCTCAAACAGGAGGGGTTGGGGTGACCCCCGGGACTCCCCCTATATTTCATTTGATTTGTTTTATTGTCCCATACATGAATATATATGGTTTAGGGGTGGGGATCTGGACCATTTCCAAGTTCTCCAATAGGAGGGGTAAGGACGACACCCGGGACTCCTCCAAATTATTTTCATTTGATTTCTTTTATTGTCCCATACAAGTATATATATTGTTTAGGGGTGAGGATGTCGACGGTTTACAAGATAAAAGTACATTTCCAAATTGAAGGGGGTTGGGATGACCCCCAGGGACTCACCCTATATTTTGGTTGATTTTTTTTATTGTCCTGTTCTCATTACTGAAGACTGCATGTGTCTATCACTTACTGTTTTTGAGAAATATTTATTTGAAAATTTAAAATTTAAAAAAATAAAATCCCATAGGGTTCTATAGTAAATCCCTCCCTTCTTCAGGCCCTTCCAAATACCCCTAAATATACCCCAATGCACAAACAAAAGATTAATGGCTCCGCTAGACATGTTAGTCTAATATTTTATGAAACCCTAAGTAAATCTGACAAACGGTCAAAGTTGTCTTCTTAGACGGTTTGAGTGGATTCGGTCCGACTTGTCTCGGGGACGAGTTGTCCACATTACTTAAAACATCCCATCAACGTCGATTTCCGCATCCGTTTCATTCATAAAATATCAACAACCTTATTTGGCAAGATAAGTTAAAAATTACCGCCCACTTATATTACTTTATTTCCTCTATTATAGAGATTTGTTGTACATGAACAATATTCCTGCGCATTTTGCCATTTGGGAAATATAAACGACTTGTAATTACCGATTTTCGGCAATGAAATATTTCATACAATTGTTCTTTGACATCGTAGCCAAAAGCACAGGGGATAATAAACTACATACGGATTTCTATTGAGCACTACTTCCTATGTGCAACTTCAAAAGTTTTGGGTAGTTCGACGATTATTTAAGGTTTTTCTGGTCATATTTTTTGTATTCCAGAAATAAAAGTATTAAAAAAATGTCCAATTAGTTATAAATAACATAATAGCCAGCTAGATAATAACAATGGCCTATATTTCAGCATTTATTGGGTAGAACACAAATCTAGGGTGCTCGCATAAGGCAGCTTAACTGCCTAAAAATGAGTCGGGGACAATGGACATATGACAGGCAGAAACTTTGTAACATAAGGTATTTACATACAAGGTATGAAGTATCCAGGTCTTCTACCTCCTGAAACATAAAGCTTTATACAAATAGTATACTCCAGCCGCCATATAGTAATCCCTATGTCTTGCATACTGCGACTTTCAAACAGGAGAGACACAAACTTCCTATTGACCAATGAACCATGAAAATGAGGTCACAGTCATATTATACCGGCTAGACTGAAAAATTACATCTTGCAATCGATTCAATACACCAAATATAGGTGACCTATTCCTTATAGTACTTGAAAAATAGACCAAAACGCATCAAAAGTGCATGTGCTGAAATGTCTTGCCTGTTTTACTTATCATTGAATTTATATTGAAAGTTTGTAATATGAAGGTTTTATGTACAAGTATCACATAAAGTTAACTTTAACAATGTTCTATGAAATGAGGTCATGGTCAGATGAACACTGCCAGACATGTACACCTTACAATCATTCTATACACAAAATATAGTGGTCCTACTTCTAATAGTACCTGAGAAACAGATCAAACCTCAAAATTTTTACATTGATCAATGAACCATGAAAATAGTTCAAGCTTGGTTTTTATCTTTTCAAACACCAGAACTAATTTCCTATAGAAAAAACCCTCACATTATACTCCAATAAACAACTAACCATATCAGTGTTTCAAAACTTTTATTTTATTTCATCACTTTTACTTAAATAAATAATGTAATGAAATGCACATAATGCTCATGTACAGAGTAAATAAGACATCACACTTATAATAAATAAATGAATAAATAAATATCTTATAAGTTAACCTGAAACTGTCAGCTTGGACGGAATATAAACAATAGCCTATGAATGTTCTGAAAAATTTAATGCCATCTTTAAAACATCAGGATATAAACTTTAATTTTTCATTTTTTAAATTTGATAGTGAAATGGTGTTCCTTTTATTGTTTTTGCAAGGGGGAAACAAAGCTCTCTAGATTATGATAGTCAGAATGAAGAATTTCCATTGCATTTTTAATTACATTAGTTCAAGTCGTTGAAACCAGTTAAACATTCATAATTTGTACATGTCATAGAGCCACCTTTATTATTGGGTTACCTTTTATGTTATCAGCTAATTCATAAGATTAACAGATCTGATAGCATACACTTTTTTTGCATTATATCTATAATACAATTTAAGTAGAATATTGTGAAATAATTCAGTAAAGGATATAAATTTTTGAAAATTTCTTTCTTTCTGCATAATTTTCATTCAAACATGAATTTTAGTTTCAATAAAATAGAAAAAGAAGCAAAGTTTCACAAAAGTGTAGTGAAATTAGTGCTGAATGTAAGTTTCATTTTTTATAGAACAAATCAAGAAATCGTTTTTTTTGTGTAAAAACAATATGGCACTTCACTCAAAGGGAAACAGAAAACAAAGTATAAAATGAACATGGAATGTTAAAGGCAATGCCATTTTACAAAATATAATAAAACTTTATATCCACTAATTATTTATAACAAAAACACAACAAACAAAACATCATACATTGGTCAGCAGTTTCATTGCACACTTAAACAAGCTAACAATACTATTGAAGATTTTACAGTGTTATCCACTTTTAACGAAGTATATTCATTTAATATATATTTTGTTTTATTGTTCAGTAAATGCAAGTTAAGAATCCAGAAGATAACAAACAATTTTCTTCATTGGTCAGTATTTAATAAGCTGCCTGCTTTAAACACTAAAAAGAAATTAGGTTGTCAGAACAAGAAACTGTCTGTAATTGTTGAAATATGTGCTATATAATTACATATACTTTTGTAGTTAACCTGTTTTTCTTAAAAGTATAGAAATTTTCTTGATACAGTATGCATAACAATTTCAATTCATGGTATTTTATACACATGAAATCAAAGATATATTACAAAGTTTTTGTCCATACTTATGAGAGTTTTGTTCCTGTACTTATATTACAACATTTGGATGATGTATTAGATGTTTGGTTTTGGTATTGCTTTGAATGGAAAACAGTACAGTACTTTCAATACATATACCCAAACAATTTCTGGTAGACATGCATAAAACAATTCAAAAATTTATTCCCTTGTCATACTATACACAAATTAATGATTGTTGAAAATTTTGAGGTATAAATTGTTCAACCATGTTAGTGTGACATAGATATGAAAACTGCTTTACTTGGTAATCACAGAGAGCTGGATATTTACAACTATTGAAATATGAAATCTTTAAAAATATAAACAAGGTGTTCTTAAGTGAGTGATAAAATTTCCAGTACAGCTATAACTGAATACATAACAAGACTTTCTCCTGAAAACTTAACCTGTCTTTTTAAGTATAAAAGTAAGGTAAACAATATTAATGATATTGATGTTAGAAGAGATCACAATTCTATAGTAGTATAACAAAAAAAAAATAAAAAAATTAAATGAGCCGATTTGTTGCTGTTTTCAATGCATGCTAACTATGAAATAGTTTCTTATATGTGGTCATATTTCCCTGGTCCAACAGAACGAAGCATAATCAAAGAATATCCAACATATACAGTTCCATCATATTTATCAGTTACTCATCGAGGATTCTTGGTTTTCTGAACACCACTCAGCCTTTGTTTATAATAAAAAATTTGTGACTTAAATTTACACCATATTATGTTGTCATAAAATTTTTTTAAGGGTTCCACAGATTCCTTTGTCTCTACTGTAATTACTTCCGTCAGTAAAATATTGTAATATTCACTGCCAAAAAAAAAAATAAATACAAAAAATAATAAAAATTTCTGTGACTTAGGTCACAGGCAAGATAACAAAGGAAAGCAGCTTATATAAATTTTGTATCAGTGAAAGAATGAGAATAAGCAAGATGCAATAAACAATGGTCATGAGTTTTTTACATGTAAAATAAAAAGATAAATCTGTACGAATGTGGTTACTTAAATTAAATTCATAATTAGTCAACAAGCTTTTTAAATACATATTCATTATTTCAGTATGGCATTTTTTGAAATTGTGTTGTGCTTGAGGTCAAAATGAAAAAACAAATTAACAAATAGTTTATCACATATAAATCTATCACAAATAAAAAGCACTATAAATCATGAATAAGCAAAATAGCATGGTTTCGATATAAAAAAAAAATAATAACATTTCTCACTTTCTTACCATATATTATTGAATATTGTACATATTTACTGAGGTATTTATACTTGACATCTATTAAGTATAAAGATAGCTTTCTTAATTAATATTTTAATGAAAAATGACACTTGGAAGATAACAAATGCTTTATCATCTACATAATCAAACAATATATTAGTTGGCATAGGGATCTTCAAACTTTCTTCTATTCATTTTTAAGTACAAAACAGAAAAAGAAAAATGATATAAATTAAATAAACTTATTTAAACCTATAACGAGAAGGAAAATCTTCAGAAATATTCAGAATATTTGATAAAACAGACATAGCAAATTGTAAATCTGAAAAGAAAAATTACATTTTAATTTTGAAATCAAGCAAATTTCAAAGAAGCTGGCACAATACTGGCAAAATTTAGTAGTCTTCATGTACATGTATCATTTTCAAATGATGAAACTTGTTAGAGAATATCATCACAAATAAAATTGAAGCAACTGCTGATTTCATATTAAGATCATGATTTTGTTTCATTGTGAACACAACGAACATCTTTAATCAGCAGTAAAATATTTTCTCTGAAACATCCACTTCCATTAAATATTGGTATTATATTAATGGCAATAATTATTTTTCTATATTCTCAATATATCACAGCTATAAACACCCTGATTCTCCCCTTAGCCATTCTCTTGGCTGTATTCCTCTCTATAAACATACATTTTGTTGAGGCGAAAAACAAAGATCTCAATGCAAATTCATGATTTTTTACGATTTTTCTTGAAGAATTGAAAGACTAGAAATACTTAATAAAACACTCTGGATTTCTATCTTGGTAATGGTGGTTTTGATGGTAAACCAGGAACTTGTGGTAATTGTCTACGTATTCTATGTTGTGTTGAAGACGGTTGTAAAACAGCATTTGCTGTACCAGGCCTATGTAAAGGTATCACTGGTGGTGACTGTGTTTGAATCAATGGTTTACTAGTGTCTATAGCACCTATAGGTCTTCTGTTCTCAAATGCAGGACTGGAAAAAGAAATACATAATAAAAGCTAAACTTAAATTTATAAATATACTAATATATGTTTTTTAGCAGAGGCCAGAGCATAACTTGCAGTAGTATTTTCTCAAAGTATAACTAGCACACCACCTACCCCCCCCCCCCCCCATGTTCTAGTCCTGATATACATGTAATATTTACTACTCGATGTGAAACACCCCATCCATCATAGCTTAACTAAGCCTCAATAAATTGTACTTTACAATTCTTACACTTAATAAAAACATACTATAAACACAGAGTGAAGGAATGACGGACCTTCCAGGTGTAAAGGTACCTTATATTTTCTGCATGTAATTGGTGTGCCAAAAGAACATAATTATGAACAACCTTTCATTCATTCATTATGCGAGTACTCCTGGTTGTATTAGGCCTGTTCAACTTAAAGGTAGTTAACGCAGCTTTTATCATATCAATACTGCTTATTCCATTCATTAAAAACTGGAACTTTTATGTTTCTGCTTTTCACTGGTTGAAAAACAGTATTATGTAATTTTCTGATTTTTCCATTATGACAAAAGGTAAACGGTGGGGATACAGTAAAATAACTTTTTTGTCAAGAAGTAAATATGATGCACAAATTTTGCCCTACATTATTGTCTTACAATCATAACAAGATTAAATAATTCCAATAAATCATGTGGACACAACTTTTCTCCTACTAAAGGGATCACAATTCAAACATTAACAATGCTTAAAACAAGTCCCAAGTATTTTGAAACTGAGAACTGTAAATTCAGAAATTATAGCATCATCCAGATATATGTGTCTGATATCTTATTATTGGGATACTCACCCAGTCTCTTTATTCTCATAAATAAAAACCTCGCAATAATTTCTGAATTTACAGTATGTTCTTCTGTCGAGAATTATCATCACCATTGGATACAGAATATAAACAATATACTTATTTTTAGGATATCGACAGTACCTCAATGAACTTCCTGCTAAGGAAGAAATGTTTGTCCTTGCTGGATGTACAGGTCTTCCTTCTCCAGATGGCACTGTGGATCTAGAAGGTATTCTACCCAGGACAGGTGGACTTGATACCCTCAATGGAGATATTGGAGATGATTTGATAGGAGGGATAGGTTGAGGAGGTTCCAGTGGGTGTTGATTTATAGAAGGATCAGAAAACTGTCTATCTATTTCTAATGATTCTTCAAGTAGCGTTGGAGATATTTGTTTTCTTTCACCTCCACTTCCAACTCTTCTAGGATTTGACACTGTCTGGTTTGCTTGTTCTGAAAGAATAAAAAAATCTGTATATTAATAAATTCAAATAAAATTTGAAAGAACAAAGAGAAAAATTTTCAGTTGATTCAATTTTACTTCTTGTTCACTTAGTTTAATTACATACCAAATTTTTGATAGAAAATTTATGAGAACTAGTTTAAGCAAGTTTGAGTTATTGTACTATATGTTAACGTATAAAGGAACGGCCATATACCATAAATTATCCTGTCTAAATTGGTGTATATAAACTAAACTATAAACCAACTTTTGTTGTATTAATAATGGTCTCACATGAGACAATGTGGTAGTATTATGACATAATTTTTCTTTAAGAGGGATTTAACCTAAGGTATTCTGATCAATTGTTTGCTCTTGATCATAAATGTGTGGTCACCTTCTTCTTAGTTTTTTATATGCCAGATTAAATGAAGACAAACCTAGAAAATTTGTCAACTCAACACAGTAAGCCCAGCTGCAGATTACATGTCTATTTTCATTGACCCATGAAATCAGGGTCAAAACATTAAATTGGTATATAAAACTACCTTAATCTAAATTTTTAACCTGAGAATCTTTTGATTTCAGACTATCACACTTCCATGTTTATTGAACTTTGAAATCTTGGTTTTAACTCTAATCTAGCAAATAATTTAGAAAATTCACTTCAAACTACCTCAAACCAAAATTTTAACCTGATGTGAGATGGACCGATGCACAAAAATAAACAGAATACAGAATGCACAGTCTTGAGGTGGGGTTTGAAAGTACCCTTACTATCCCATGTTTTTACTACTACCACTAAATGAAATAGGCAATATTCCTGATGAAGTTATCCAGAGAGAACACTTTTATTTGTGCAGATTACAAGAACAGAACATTGATCACAAAAAAGATCATCTCAATTTATAAGCAATACAGATTCTACCACTGTGGATGGCAAACACTATTTCAAATAAGACATAATAATAGAAACTGCTGATTTACCAGATATTTATTGGAAAAGATACTTGAGTGGAACATTTGAAAATACAATCATCAATATAAGGTTATCATGAGATTTCTGTACTGGCAATGTTGAGGTCCTCGGTCACCTATAATGACTAAATACAGCTAACCAAGGACTTTTAAGAAGGTTAACAAGAAGACTATTTAACTGTGTGTATTTTACAGTACCTATCTTAGTAATGCCTTCCATGAAATCATCTAATTCTTCATCTGTAGTGATCTCATCCTCATCTCCAGATAAACTAATAGCATCATCATGTTCATCATGGTTAATAACTAATACTTGTGGGACCCGCGATTCTTTTATTTTCTCCATTCTCCTGTAAAGAACATATAAAACATGTGAATTTCAGTTATAATCTATTCTAACACTTGCACTTTCTGTCTGTCCATACTATTCTAGAGATGTATCTTTGATATGCATTACAATTTCTGTGTCAATATCATTTTTTCCTATGTACCCCATTAAACAATTCAAAGTAGAATTGTTGTCATACAGTCTTTTCATCCCTGATGTACTTTAATGATTATTATAAACAGAGTTACAATTATATGGTTTGCATATTTTAAGCTTTTTATGAATTGAAAACTATTGTACTGTAAAGCAGGACATTCAGGGTTTTAATTTCGTTTTTGTTATGGATAGAAATTCAAATTGAAATTAAAACCCCAACGTAAAATTAACCCATATAGAACATTTCATTTTCAAACTGGAAACCCCAATATTCATCCCCACAAAACCAAGTTTAAAAACAAAACCACAAAATTTTAACCACAAAAAATAATATTTCTACAGTTTGCAAAAGAATGGATGTAATATGGATAGACATGAGAAAATAACCTCATAAAATACTGGTAAATAATCTTATATTAAATGAATAGGTATTTTTTTTTTTTTGCTGTTTTGTCATATTGACAGTTGATTCAAAGGTTGCTGCTGTGAAAATATGGCTGAGGAAATACACAAAAATTGTTATTTTAAGGATCTCTGGACTTTTTGCGCATAAACTTCATATCAAGTGAGAAAAAAGTTCTATGGTACTATCACATCCCATGGAGGTATTTCTCACAATCAATTATCAATTTAGTTTGTGTAATTTTTTTTTAATTTCTGAATTATTTCTAGTATAAATGGTGTTCCAAAGAATGTAGTGATAAGATCAATGTGAAATATTTGCACCTACAATGAATTTATCAGGTGATAAATCCTTCCTTATTTCTGAAAGTAGGCTCAGAAGCCTAATTTCTAAAATGGCCTTAAAGTGATATATATATATATATAAGTAATTAACATACTTCTCATGAAGTTTTTTCCATTCTATTAGTTCACTTGTTATTTCTTCCCTGTCTCTTTCGTCTTCAGGAGGGAGATCAAACGTGTGTTCTGTCGTATGCTGATACTAAAAAATACCTTTCTTATATATCATAACCAACATTGAAAACCTTCCAGACAAAATGTATTCATGATTTGTAATATTCAAAAATAAGAATGCAATACAGCATATCAAGGTTTTTCTGTGGAAAATGTCAAGCAGCTGAATAATCTTTTGTTATAAATGTTTTAAACTACTGTATGATATGTATTGACTGCACTTTAATGTGAAACAAGAATGTGTCCATAGCACAGGGATGCCCCACTCGCACTATCATTTTCTATGTTCAGTGGACTGTGAAATTGGGGTCAAAACTCTTAATTTGGCATTAAAATTAGAAAGATCATATCATAGGGAACATGTGTACTAAGTTTCAAGTTGATTGGACTTCAACTTCATCAAAAACTTCCTTGACTAAAAATTTTCACCTGAAGTGGGACAGACGGACGGACAGACGAACGAACACACATACTAGAAAACATAATGCCCCTACTACTATCGTAGGTGGGGCATAAAAACATGAATCTTATGGATCTATAAAATCTTTAAATTGTATGGAATTCTTTTATAATCATGATAATCTTCTTTGTGATTTTCATGTTCATATTAAAAACTGGTATTTCAACTCATTTAATTTTATTGATTGATGTTTGCTTTACAATGTTTTAGCCAAAAAAGGTAATATCTTGGAAAGTTTTGTCAATTGACTTGTATTTCTAAGTTCTCTTGCAATTTCAGTCAAAACTGAAGTCTGTAACTGAAGGCAAGTTTTTCCTAGACAAGATATTTAATAGCTTACTTGTGGGAATAATTTAACCTGAGTAGCCTCCTTTGGTTGGTTATATTTCCTCCTTGCAATCAAAGCTTTGGATGGGTTACCACAGACAACTTTACCCAATGTCAGATCACTGACGGAGTCATCTGTTAGTACAGTAGTACCTAAAATGAAAGAAAGTAGTAGATATCATATACATGAATACATCTTTTACTGATGAAGTTAGAAATTAGCATTTTGGCTGATAGGTACTGATTATCAGGTTTTCTGAATATTGATAGTACTTATACAAAATATTAGAATGAAGTGTTGCCGAGTTATCACAAAGCTCTATAAATTAAGTAATACTGTAAGTTTAGAAATTAACACATATATTTATTATTGCGAATCACTGATTACTGGTTAATAATGCAAGATCTATTTAATGTGATTACAAAAATATTGTGAAAAAAATCACTGCTAAAATTATGAATGTGAGTTTTTATTATTACAAACCTGATATTGTCTCATTTTTCCCCCCATTATAAAAAAATCCCAATAATTTCTGAATTAAAAAGTAAAACAACAAAAATACCGAACTCCAAGGAAAATTCAAAACGGAAAGTCCCTTAACAATTGGCAAAATCAAAAGCCTAAACACATCAAACAAATGGAAAACAACTGTCATATCTGTAATTAACAGTATCAATATGAGGAAAATCAGATAATCTGTTTATAAAACTGTCATATGACTGTATGTATATGCTTTTCATAATCAAATCAATTAATAATATCATTTAACAAGCCAAGAGATAGACTTGATAATTTCGGTTCAAATCAATCAACAAAAGCTAGGTCAAGCAAACTTATAATAAATAGGGTCAAAAACCAGAGCAAGTTCATTTGAATTCACATGGCCTTATCAATGGATTTGGTGATGCATGTGTAAGGAAGATAGATAAACTAAACTTCTTGATGTGGCTTTTTTGGCTCTGTACATGTTAATTCACCAAAGTAAAATATGTATGATGTCACTACTAACCATGTGTTTTAAATCTCAGAAAGAGTGAAATATTGGCCTTTCCTTGGTGACACAATTTGACTTACATCATAAAAGTGACATCATAAGGCAGATTTTAAAGATTTTGTATGACAAAAAAATGCTAATTTTACGAATATTTTGGCTTAATTAACAGATGACCCTAATAGTAGTTGTTTGACATTTTCCTTTCGGAAATCTTTGTTTGTGCTTTAAACAAGTCAAAAAGTCAGGATTTAAAGTAATTTGGGCATTTTACTGACTTTATAGCCTGCATTCATGTCCTACTTAAACTGTAAATAAAAGAAACAACTATGATGAAGTAAATCACAAATGATACCCAGCTCTACTGTACAAATAATTTTTACCATCTGTATTTGGTCTGTTTCCTGAGGAACTAGGTCTAGCTGTTGCTGCCCTTGCTCCAATAGTTGTAGCTGGACGTCTTGAGCCAGTGGCAGGTCTGAACCCTGTTCCTGGTCTTAATACAGTTCCAGGTCTATAACCAGTTGTAGGTCGAAGAGAAGCACTACCAGGTCGACTTGGAGGTCCTGCAAAGCAAATTAAATTGTATTTCACACAGCCATACAATGTTAACAGTTATACCTTGTATTTAATAAAAACATAATTAGTGTGGTCTTTTAAAATTAGTGTTTAAAATTAAGTGCAGTTACATGAAAAATTTATACATTTAAAGATACATCTGTTTGTGAGCCTGTCACAAGTCAGGAACCTCTGGCCTTTGTTAGTCTTGTATGTTTTTTAAATTTTCGTTCATTTATGTGTTTTGGAGTTTAGTGTGACGTCCATTTTCGCTGAACTAGTATTGTTAAGGGGCCAGGTGAAGCCCGCCTTCAGGTGCGAGATTTTCTCGCTGTGTTGACGACCAATTGGTGCCTTGGGCTGTTTTCTGCTCTTTGGTCGGGTTGTTGTTTCTTTGACACATTCCCTGTTTCCATTCTCAATTTTATCTGTAAACTTTACTTCCAAATATTCTATACATATAATACTTTTCACAATTTTGCGAAAAAGACAGATGCTCTGGCAAATTGTTTTTTCTGTGCATCTAAATTTTCTTCTCAAAAAGTCAATTTGTGAATTACAAACATTACTTTAGTGGAAATATCTTATAAAGATCTTAATATTGGCAAAATTATTTCCTTATTTGCTTCATATTCAATTCTCATAGTAAAAAACAATGCTAATCAATCATTTACCAGAGGATTCATTGTCATCAGAATCCTCTTTCAGATTGAGATCATTCTGTAATTCCTCCAGATATGCCCAATCAGCATCAAAAACATTTGTTTTCTTTGTTGGTGATGCCTCTTGTGTAAGCACCTCATCATCCAAGTAACATAAATGAGGTATAACTTTCTTCACTGCTTGTCTATAGTCATAATCCTCCTAAAACATAAAATAACAAGAAATGATTGTAACAGGATGCTGTTACGAAGTCTCCCAAACGAAGCTCCCATAATTCGTAATTCCCAGGGTCGCCTGACATTGGACAAAGTCCTGTGAAAATTGGTTTGGTCCAGTAAAGTTATATGCATTAGTGATGCCTGGGGACTAACCCTGTATATCATTCAAATCATCTTGGCATGACAAACCAGAATATATATGGTTTAGGGGTTGGGATCTCAACCATTTACAAGATACAAGAACATTGGGGGTGGGGGGAACCCCTGGGGACTGACCCTAAACGTCATTCAAATGTTCGAGACATGACGAACAGGAATATATATGGTTTAGGGGTGGGGATCACAACCATTTACAAGATATTAGAACATTGGGGGTGGGGGGAACCCCTGGGGACTGACCGTATACGTCATTCAAATGTTCTAGACATGATTAACAGGAATATATATGGTTTATGGGTGGGGATCTCTACCATTTACAAGATATTAGAACTTTCTCAAATGACAGGAGGTCGGGATGACCCCTGGGGACTAACCCTGTATATCATTCAAACCATCTTGGTATGACAAACCAGAATATATATGGTTTAGGGGTGGGGATCTTGACCATTTACAAGATATTAGAACTTTCTCAAATGACAGGGGGTCGGGATGACCCCTGGGGACTAACCCTGTATATCATTCAAACCATCTTGGTATGACAAACCAGAATATATATGGTTTAGGGGTGGGGATCTTGACCACTTACAAGATATTAGAACTTTCTTTAATGGCAGGGGGTGGGGGTGACCCCTGTGGACTAACCCTGTATTTCATTTGATGTGCTTTATCATGACAAACCAGAATATATATGGTTTAGGGGTGGGGATCTCAACCATTTACAAGATATTAGAACTTTCTTAAATAGCAGGGGGTGGGGGTGACCCCTGGGGACTAACCCTGTATATCATTCAAACCATCTTCGCATGACAAACCAGAATATATATGATCTTGACCACTAACAAGATATTAGAACTTTCTTAAATGGCAGGGGGTGGGGGTGACCCCTGGGGACTAACCCTGTATTTCATTTGATGTGCTATATCATGACAAACCAGAATATATATGGTTTAGAGGTGGGGATCTCGACCATTTACCAGATATTAGAACTTTCTCAAATGGCAGGGGGTGGGGTGACCCCTGGGGACTAACCCTGTATATCATTCAAACCATCTTAGCATGACAAACCAGAATATATATGGTTTAGGGGTGGGGATCTTGACCACTTACAAGTTATTAGAACTTTCTTAAATGGCAGGGGGTGGGGGTGACCCCTGGGGACTAACCCTGTATCTCATTTAATGTGCTTTATCATTTAGAACATTTTCAATTAAAAAGATTGTGTCTATCACAAACGGTTTTCAATTTATAATCATTTGAAAATTTAAAAAAATAAAATCCCATAGGGTTCTATAGTAAAACCCTCCTTTCTGTTTGCCCCTCAAAGTACCCCTTTATAAACCCCATTGCACAAACAAAACCCTGATTGCACCACTAGACATGTTAGTCTAACATATTGTGAAACCCTAAGTTAATCTGACAAGCGGTTTTGGAGAACAGGTGCGGACAAGTTCAAATTTAAAAGTGGCGGAAGAAGAAGAAGAAGAAGAAGAAGAATAATAATAATAATAAGAACTGAGCAAAACCAATAAGTCTTCCCAAACTTCGTTTGGGAGACTTAATAAACAGTATGTACAATGGGAGATAACTCTTAACAACTTTTCTATTTATGTAATCTTTCTAACATTTCTTTAAGTAATGCTATTGACAAGTATTTTAACTCTCTTGTATGGCTGTTACTTTATATTAATGAAAATCTGATGGTTAAAAATCTTGCTCACATAACTGAATGTGTATATCTAAGATAGTAAATAATGTAATGAAACTGGCTTCTGGATAGGTATAACTTCCATCCATGTTCATAAGTACCTTACTCTGGCTTAAAGAAATGTGCTGGCAAAATAAATATCAATTCCAAAATATTCAGTTTGCAAAATTTTCAACGGATGCAACTTTTCACTTTTGCCAGATTTTTGTGAACACTCCATGTATAATGAACTTTTAATTTTGGAACAGATAAACGAAAACAACAGAAGGACAATACAGTCAACTCCACTTAATTGCATACCGCTTAATAGCATAATTCGGTTAATTGCATAGTTTTCTCCTGCACAAAACCATTTCCCATTCATCTAATGTTAAATTGTCCGGTTATATGCATAGCTCTACAAGCTTAAGTGGCCTTTCAGTTTATTGCATAGACAATTATCGCCATCTAGATATGCTTGGTTAAATCTGTCGAAATTTTTGAGCGGAAACGGCAAGTTGGTGAGTATAATTTTCTTGAATGCATCATTATTTTCATTATTATTTCATATTTACTTTTGTGTTATTCAAATAAAGTTTTAAAACAGTTTCTTTCGTGTTTATATGATTGAATTTGATTTAAAAATATACCTCGATATCTACACAGGTAAAGTTTCCCATGTTCTATTTTAAGCCTCAAGGTCATAAAAATGTCAAACAGGTAATTGTTGTAAAAACACTGACCAATCTATCTAAAAAGGTGTAAATAATTGATTGGATTTCAAACATTGTCCATAGATTACATTTGGGGTGAAATTCAAAAACAATAACGCCTGCTAATTATCGATCATTACCCAATGTGAACTCTCGTAATTGGGCTTGGGGTGATCTGCATTTATTGTAAATATTACAGGGCATTTATATATATGGTTAAAGAATTTTATACATCAATCATTTAATTTTAATATATTTTGAAAAGAGCATTTACTTCTAATTATTATATTTTCTCACTTTCAATACTCGTGTCCAGCAAATAACCCGTACAGGGCCCCATTACTGCTTTGCATATACGAAACTAACGAAGTCAAATAAATATGGATTCTACCACTGCATCGAGTGTGATACGATATTTATCCACTCGAGACAGTTAAATTTTCAAATTTAAAACGCGAGGCTCGCAGAGCGTTTTAAATATTTAAAATTTAACTGTCGAGAGTGGATAAATATCGTATTACACGAGATCTGGTGGCGGAATATGTTTCTCTAATGATTTTCAAACAATATGCAGGCAAGCTTATTCCTTCTTTTTGAATGATCTGCAAAAAGATGTGTTCTTTCTATGTGACATCATCAGACATGGTCGCCTTTTTTCATGCCGTCACAATAGGAAATTCAGATCTAGAGGAAAGCAAGAAAAGTAGACGTCATAATCGGATTTTAACCAATGAAGAACTGAGATCAAACGAACCACACGTTGATTAAATTTTTTTTATACAATGGGTGCAGAAAGTGATAAATTGAAGAAGAATTAGAGAAACAGTGTTACTTCACTCTGCAAGCTGTAAATATTGTATATCAAAGGCAGTTTAGTACACATCTATTGTTAAAATGATTATAAACTTGTAGTTTTGTTAAACAGTTTATTTTAATCAAAGCGTAACAATGTACATTGTCCATACGGGTCATAGAAACAAATCTATTTTTAGAACAAATTTATTTTCGTATCCCAGGTAAACTGGTAAAGGAAACGTCGGTACGCAAATAAACTAAAACAAAATGTGTTTATAATCTTTATTGAAATAATACAAAATAAAATAACATGTATGACACTAGACATATAACTTTTATTAGAATAAATCAACATTCAATATGTTGTAATTGGATTATAGACGTTCATCTTTCTTCAGGGATTTCCTTTACTGATCTGTTCTATCGATGTTATTTGACTCCGTAATTTGGCATTTCGGATATAAGCATACTCCGCTTTATTGCATAATTTTGTCTGACAAATAGGCTATGCAAATAACCCGAATGTACTGTATTTATGTTGTCTACAGAAATATCACTTAGCATGTTCAGTAGATATTTTATGTTCTAAAATTCATATTAAGTGTTTAGTTATTTTTTATTTTACTGATTTTGTTACTTTGATTACAATAGCAACATTATTTGTTTTGTGTTCCTGTGATTCATTAATTCATAGCTACATTTATTACCAAGCCAAATATTTTTTCACAAGTAGAAAAATAATCATTGCAAATATGTAAAACTTGTATCTCTCCTTATATTAATACAAGAAAATAAGATAATCTGGGAATATAAATTGCTGTGAAGTCTACTAGATAATCTAAGCTTGAAATAAAGAAACAGAGCAAATAAGTTTGTTAACAGTAAATAAATTCTATTTAGCTTAGAACATTTACGACAAGACCTACCTGCTCAGTATCTGGAGAAGGTGTTACACAAACAGGATTACTCTCCAGTGTCAGTCTGTTGAGCTGTGTACACATTCCTAAAAACTGTACTTGGGATATATCTTCTACATTATTTCTGCAAAGTAACGAATGATACTTCTTATATAAAGGTTTTGCCAGATTATTTGTAGTCTGAATACATCTGTTGTTAATAAAATAAACTGTTGACACAGATATATGTCTTGCCTTTCGGCATAAAATTCACAAAAAGACAATCTGATGGACAGCAACATTGCTTATTAATTCAGTCACTGGACCATGATCTAGTGGGCAGGGCCTGACTTAAGCAGAAAACTTAACATTGAAAATTGCTAATTATTTCAAAGTCACTGGACCATGTCCTAGAGGGCAGGGCCTCGAAATAGTCACCAAACTGATATGAACTGATAGTAATGCAACTTCATACAAAATATCATTGATCTATCACAAGTAGATCCTATCAAACTAACTTAAGCAGAAAACTTAACATTGAAAATTGCTAATTAATTCAAAGTCACTGGACCATGTCCTAGGGGGCAAGACCTCAAAATAGTCATCAAACTGATATGTACTGATAGTAATGCAACTTCATACTAAATATTAATGATCTATCACAAGTAGTTCCTATCAAACTAACTAAGGCAGAAAACTCAACAATTGTTGATGCCGGAGCCATTGCCTTCGTCACTGGAAAAGCAATCCCTATGTCTCGCTTACCGTGACTTTCGTCGGAGGCGAGACAAAAATCTTATCATGTGGAAATCTATTTTAATTTTTTTCAAAATGAAAGTCTTATACACATTCAAAATTGATTTTGAAAATCTTGTTTTAATAAGATGAAAAATGTTTCAAGAAAAAAGTTCTGTCACCAATTTACCAGTGCAGTAATGGGAAACTTTCTATAAATAAATAGATTTTTTCCTATTAAATGATTAAATATCATATAAAGAAATATCTCCACAATATCACATACCCTTCTAAATCTAAAATCTGTAAATTATCTAGCATGCTTATTGGACTTATATCACATATTTCATTATATGATAAATATACTTCAGTTAAACTGATCATGGATGAGATTCCATCTAATTCTAAAAGTCCGCATCGAGACATCCATAATATCTGAATTGTCCTTAATGAAGATCCCAAGTCCCTGGAATAAAAATCTTATAAATTACATAACAAAATAAATGTTTAACCTTGTATCATTTTTTTATACCATATAAAAGTAAAACATATAGGTTACAGTAATAATTTGAGAGAAAATATAATGTTTTAATACTGACTGTGAATAAAATAAGGAATTTATGACATTGATTTGAACATATAGTCATCCAAAGTAACATCCTTACTTAAAAATACAAAAATAAAAGAGACCATCATTTAAAGCTTTGGTTTTTGTCACATTGAAGTATACCCCATAACCCCATTAATTTATATTCATGTATACATCTTTGGGAATAAAGTTATAATTAGGTTTAAAAAAATTGTTTGATGTGCACCTAAAATGCATCCGTCAGTCCTTGAGACACTAATGATTAAACGCACTAGAATATATTTGAAGGAGTTACAGGTTTCCCTCCTTGTGAATAATCTTCATCAAATGACGACAATACTACAATACAAGGATTAATATATCAATGAAATGAACATCGCTACATAGTGACAGGGTTAACTACAAAGTTTTAGAGCAGTTGAAATAAATGTAAGCTGTCTTGGTGGTCTCAGGGTAGCCTGATTGCTTGAAGCAGGCCTGTAAATTTTAATAAAATGCTTCGCTGGGGCGCAGCTTGATACGACCGAAGAGGTCGAACCCTGAACAGTTGGGGCAAGTATGGACACAACATTCAAGCTTGATACAGCTCTGAATTTGGATTGTTATTAAATATTTGACACAGCATAGGTTTCTAACACAGAAAGAATGTGGTCTAAGAACTTGATTTTTTTTAATTAACCTATTATGGTCCAATGTCCAAAATTATAATACATGGTTAGATTCAGCATATCAAAGAACCCCATATATTCAATTTTTGTTAAAATCAAACAAAGTTTAATTTTGGACCCCAACTTGGACAAACTTGAAAACTGGGCCCATAATCAAAAATCTAAACACATGTTTAGATTCAGCATATCAAAGAACCCCAAGAATTCAATTTTTGCTAAAAGTTTAATTTTGGACCCTTTGGACCTTAATGTAGACCAATTTAAAAAACGGGACTTAAAATTAAAAATCTAAATACACGGTTAGATTTGGAATATCAAAGAACCCCAAGAATTCAATTTTTGCTAAAATCAAACTAAGTTTAATTCTGGACCCTTTGGACCTCAATGAAGACCAATTTAAAAAACGGGACCCAAATTAAAAATCTAAAAACACGGTTAGATTTGGCATATCGAAGAACCCCAATAATTCAAATTTTGATGAAATCAAACAAAGTTTAATTTTGGACCCTTTTGACCTCAATATGAACCAATTTGATAGCGGGGCCCACAAATAAAAAATCTAAATACATGGTTAGATTCAGCATATCAAAGAACCTCATATATTCAATTTTTGTTGAAATCAAACAAAGTTTAATTTTGGACCCCAATTTGGACCTTAATGTAGACCAATTTAAAAAACAGGACCCAAAATTAAAAATCTAAATACACGGTTAGATTTGGAATATCAAAGAACCCCAATAATTCAATTTTAGATGAAATCAAACAAAGTTTAATTTTGGACCCTTTTGACCTCAATATGAACCAATTTGATAACGGGGTCCACAAATAAAAAATCTAAATACATGGTTAGATTCAGCATATCAAAGAACCCCATTTATTCAATTTTTGTTGAAATCAAACAAAGTTTAATTTTGGACCCCAATTTGGACCAACTTGAAAACTGGGCCCAAAATCAAAAATCTAAATACATGTTTAGATTCAGCATATCAAAGAACCTCATATATTCAATTTTTTCTAAAATCAAACAAAGTATAATTTTGGACCCTTTGGACCTTAATGTAGACCAATTTGAAGACTGGACCCAAAATTAAAAATCTAAATACACTGTTAGATTCGGCATAACAAATAAATAAATGTGATCAAAGATTTTACAAATCTAATGCGCCATACTGTGCAATTAAAGATTACTTCTTGAAATTTTTCAATATCTGAAATTTGAAAAAAAAAAAATATTTGAAGCATAATTCTTTTTAATTTCTGAAATCTGAAATGAGAAAAAATTGACCCCCACAATTTCTTTTTATCGCCCCCCCTTTTTTTCCCCCAAAAAATTCTTTCCCTCAAGATATGGTCATAATCTCAATTCAAATTTCCAATGGAGTTGGCAAACCATAATTACCCATTAAAATTTACCATAGTGCGAACTTAATCTATTTTATAATAGAATTAAAAATATAGTGTCAAATCTTTCATATGGATTTTTTTGTAAAAAAAAAAGATGCAACATTTTGCAGATATTTTTACTGGTCTTCCTTTATAAATATGCATTTCTTTAAACATAATTTAAAAGCAGTGTAAGGGAAGTAACCAAAACGTTGTATTTGGATTACCTCCCTTACACTGTTTTAAATTATCTTTATTGTTCATTAACCATTACTTTATACATAATTTAAAAGCAGTGTAAGGGAGATAATTTCAATGATGTATTTGATTTATCTCCCTTACACTGCTTTAAATTATGTTTTGTACTAAAGTATTTGTCCATTAACCAGGACAACCTTGTTTTTCCCCCTTTTTTGCCCCTAATTCCTAAACGGTTTGAGCCACAACCCCCCAAAGCAAATCCTAACCATCCCTTTGTGGTATGGAAACTTGTAGTATAATTTCAGAGAGATCCATACACCGTTCCACAGTTATTGTCTGGAAACTAGAAAATGCTTATTTTTGGCCCCTTTTTGGCCCCTAATTCCTTAACTGTTGGTACCATAACCCCCAAAATCAATCCCAACCTTCCTTTTGTGGTATTTAACCTTATGGTCAAATTTCAAAAAGATCGATTCACTTAAACTATAGTTAGAGTGCGAAAACCAATGTGTCTTCGGACGACGACGCCGGACGACAACGCCGCCGGAGACGCCAACGTCATACCAATATACGACCACAAAATTTTTTGGCGGTCGTATAAACAGCAGGTTTATTATTATCACATTAACGTTCCTGTCCTGATTATGCATGTAATATTTGTCACTGGGTGTTAAACATCTACCAATTCCTTGAAATATATGGTATGAGGTTTTGAAGAATCAAACTTAAATACCTGTAGATGATATAACTTTACCTGATATAAGGTATACAACTATTAGAAAGTTTAAGCTGTGTTAAACATGGTAATAATGAACCAAAGTTCCCTAAACTGGTATCTGTTGTATCTACTTTTAATTCTAAACTTCTTACATCTTCCAAATTCTGTATTCCAGTTAAAGATTTCTGAAAATTATCAAATATATATTTATATTCAAAACATCATGATCTTCTATTAAGGGTTTCAACAGAAGGTGATAGGTGATTACTTTCTTCTTGATTGCAGACTCAGTCCCTTACTTCAATGTTTTGTAAATAGAGCAAATAAATATGTTTTTCAGATGAATTTTTATTATAATGTTAGTTCTGACTGGTGCAACAACTACAATGTACATAAAGATATTCTAATAAAGCTTTATTACACTAACTTTACTAAATCCTTTGCTAAGTAAAATGGTATTTGGAAATCCTATGACAGTATCGAAACAAAATCAAAGGATTTGAATAACAGGCAATTACAAATGTATAAATAATTTGACATTAACACCTGAAAATTACAATGTTAAATGTATGTCTAATGGGCTATAGTTAAAAAAAAGTTTGTTTCTGGATATTCAACTGACCCTCTTCATTACCATTCACATAAGACATTTTGTTTCTGGTTTCTGTCTGTTCAATCTTTCAGCATAAAATATCTGAACTTGAGTTAAACTTTGAGAACACACTATTGTGTTAAGCCTTAATCAATGATATAAAAACATAAACAACATAGTTTTCAACAAAGGAAATATTCATGCATTTGGAGTAAAAAAACTAGAGGCTCTCAAGAGCCTGTGTTGCTCACCTGTATTTACTGATGCTTTGGAAATCATGTAAAATAAGGTTAAAATCATAATTAATAGTATTAGATATTAGATATTATAATGATATCTAAGATAATAACAAAAAACTGCAAAATTTTTGTAAAATTACTAACTCAGGGGCAGCAACCCAACAACGGGTTGTCGGATTCGTCTGAAAATTTCAGGGCAGATAAATCTAAATCTGATGAACATTTTTGCCACCTGTCAGATTTGCTCTAAATGCTTTAGTTTCAGAGATATAAACCAAAAACTGCATTTTACCCTTATGTTCTATTTTTTACCAAGTCGGCCATGATGGTTGGAAGGCAGGGTCATCGGACAAATTTTTTAAACTAGATACCCCAATAATGATTATGGCCAAGTATGGTTATATTTGTCTCAGTAGTTTAAGAGAAGAAGATTTTTGTAAAAGATTACAAAAATTTACAAAAAATTGTTAAAAATTGACTATTAAGGGCAATAACTCCTAAAGGGGTCGACTGACAATTTTGGTCATGACAACTTATTTGTAGATCTTACTTTGCTGAACATTATTGCTGTTTACAGTTTATCTCTATCTATAATAATATTCAAGATAATAACCAAAAACTGCAAAATTTCCTTAAAATTACCAATTCAGGGGCAGCATCCCAACAACCGATTGTTAGATTTGTCTGAAAATTTCAGGGCAGATAGATCTTGACCTGATAATCAGTTTTACCTTTGTCAGATTTACTCTAAATGCTTTGGTTTCAGAGATATAAGCCAAAATCTACATTTTACCCCTATGTTCTATTTTTAGCCATGGCGGCCATCTTGGTTGGTTGGCGGGGTCATCGGACACATTTTTTAAACTAGATACCCTAATAATGATTGTGGCCAAGTTTGGTTAAATTTGGCCCAGTGGTTTCAGAGGAGAAGATTTTTGTAAAAAGCTAACGTTGACGACGACGGACGCCAAGTGATGAGAAAAGCTCACTTGGCCCTTTGGGCCAGGTGAGCTAAAAAGATCTATAAGATTTTAATTATCTTCACACAAATGTAATTCTCCACTTTTAACAGGCTTATTAAAGTAAAGGGAAGAAAGACTTAAATACATTGTGTTATTATCCATCCACCCTTCCCTTTTACAACTTAGTTATCATTATCACAAAATCTTTTTTCTTGGCCTGCTTTTTTTAATATCAGAGTAAAATAATTTGTGAACATGTAATTCTTTTATCACTTCAACTACTATTTTTAAATCACAAACCAGTTTTCCAGGAGATAAATACTGTTCCATTAAAACTTCACTATCTTCTAAAACAATTGGTTCAGGATTTATTCTTGATTCCTTGAACTCTGTAATTTGTACCCCTCGTGCCCCAAGGGCACTTTCAGGACGTCCTTGTAGACTGGAATTCATACTTTGAAGCCTAATATTAAAAAAAACATTATATGAATAAGTTTAAATTTCTCTAGTTTTAAGATAACATTTAAATGCACAGCTCTGTTATAGAAAGTAACAGAGTGTACAAGAATATTTTTTCTTTCTACAGCAGGGAATCATAACGAGCATACTTACAACACTTGCCTAGTAATACATCTTGTTCACATAAATTTTATTGCTAGAGAATGCAGACATGTTTAAAACTTTGAAAAAAAATCTAATTTTTCCTTAAACAAAGTTTCCAACCAAAACATTTTGAGTTCTACCAACAATAGTCTCTTAACACAAATAAAAGCTACAGTATGTGTACCTAATATTTAAAAAAAATAATTATAAATATTCATTTTGATATTTCTGTAATGCATATAAGAAAAAAGCTCAATATTGGAACAAGGTTCATGTACAAATGTACGTAGATAGAATGTATGTATGATATACATGAATGAATAATTTGGTGAACAAGACTGAGCATTTTAAACATACATGTAACCCAAAACTAATTAATGTACCTGTAATACAAGGAGTCCTGTGCAACAGCCATTGAAAATTACAAAGATGATAAATTAATGTACCAGTGAAGCTTCATAGAAAGAATATTCTGAAAGATACATAGGGAAAAAGTAAAGATTTTAATTGTATGCTTTACAAACATTATAATGAAATATATAATATACACATACATTTATTACTCTTGGTCAAAAAGAGCATACACAAAATTTTAAGGGTGAAATCATACCGAAAGAAGATTTCATGAAATTAAAGTGTATGTCATGAATTAGTTCACAAAGTAGTATTCGATTATTGGTTTTATTAGTCTACCAAAGCAAATCCAAGAGATCAAAATGTGCAGATGTACTAGGCTGCTCTGGACTGTACATACATGTACATTTGATGATGAAAAACAACAGTCATAATTTCTTGGCAAGATTTGAAACTCAGTGAAAACTGTCAGTACAAAAATATTCAGCACCCTGATAACCCGAAAACTGATACATGTAGATATTACCTGAAAACAATAATTTAATGGTTAAATGAGCTTACATGTATATTGATATACCGGGGTAAAGAATGATTTATATCCTGTATTAACATTTTTTGCATAAGTATTTACAATGTGACTGCCATAATTATTTAGCCTCTTTAGAAACACAAAAATAGTACTTTCCTAAATTTAATTACATGTACACGATTTTCCATTTGGTGCTTTTTCCTGGAAAAATTTGATGTCGAAAACCAAATATCTTAACTTCAATATGTCCAACAAAGTGTTTCCCCAAAATGACCCCAGTTCATTCATAAAATCGAAATCTCATGTCTTGTACTGCAATTGAGCATGTTTCAGTAAAAGTGACATTTATCTGAAAATTATTTTATCATCAATATAAGCAGTATTGCACCATATAAATTAGAGATGTCTTGTAACATCAATCAGTTTTTAGGTTATTGGTGAATGGTGTACCCAAAGCATTAAAGAAGACTTTCAAATTTGTGCACTTTCTCGTTCATTTTCTATGTCAACATTGGCACAAAGCTTATGTTATTACATAATAAAAGAACCAATTGTTCAATGACATCATTTACAACTTTGACCTTGGGTCAACCGGTGTAACTCATAAAAAAACAACTCACGGTTGGTATATGTACCTTATAACTTATCTGGATTTGTATGCAAGTTTTTTGAATCACAAACACTTTGAACTTCTGCCTATGATATTGTCAAAATTTAAGGAGAATGTCTGTGATGTCAAGTAATGGGTGACAAATATGGATAAGACCTTCATTTTTTTAGGGACTAATGTACATTTTGTACTTAAACTAAGGTTAGGGTTCATTTATGGTTACTGTGAGTGTGAGGTTTGGACAAATGTTTACCCATAAACTTTGTGTGTGTGTGTGTGTGTTTATTTTTTTTATTAACATCTGATAAATGCAGTGATTCTTAACAAGGATTACCTATTCTATGCATAATTTTTAGAAATCATTTAAATATTTATGGCATGAATGGCAAAATCCCTAACAACGTGTGTATTATTTTAGAGCATTCACAGCTCCTGCTATAGAATGATGATAATTTCAGTAATCTATGACTTACAGCATGTCTTTTTACATTCGTTAACCAATTTTTGTTTAGTTTTTGCGCTATGAATTACAGCAATTTCAAAGTCATTTTCCGTCGCAACGGACGCGAATCCTCCATTTTGGAATTTTCATAGTGCGCATGTGCCGCATAGAACTTCCGATCGGAAGTGTTGATAGAAAACCGCGGGAAAGCAAATAAACAAATACACGTGTGTAGACTGACAGATGCAAAATCATAAAAATGCCACCGAAAAAAAGCAAAACATCTGGTAATTTAGCTCATGCAATGCTATTTGTACGAAGATCATCGTAACTGCTGAAAATATAATCACAAAATCAGTCAAATTGAAAACAAAAGTGCAATTTTAAGTAATTTTTCAAATCTGGTACCAAATCTAATTACTTCGTTATTTACTTTAATATCCTAGCTGCAACAAATAGAAAAATTAACACAGGGCTTTTACTTTTTGCACAACATTTCTGCAAATAGCCTATTGTATATTCTTACCTCAATACTAAATAGCATATAAATATATCCTGCGAAGAGGTCAAAGCAAAACATTCAAAAGCCTTTCAAGACGAATTCTAGTCACTTCGGCACCAAGTAAAATCGGAACCTCGTTAATTCCGCACCCGAGGTAGTTATTTCGGCACCCACAATTAACATTATGTTTAGCAAGTAAGCTATTGAAGACTCCGTTTTTCGTGAATTTTTATAATATTTTCACTCGAGGTTTTAACATATTTGTTGCGCGTAACAGAAGTTCCAAATAGACGTGTTAGGAAAGGGGTTTAAATACTGCGCTGATGTTAAATACCAATACCGATACAAGATTTAAGTGTGGACTTTCTCAAAATGCAATTGCATTGAAAAGTATCCCGGCTTAGTCTAGTTTAGCTTTGTGTTGTGTTTGATACAACATGAAGCAAACAGTTGACGTCGACTCTAAAATTTTAAGACGTGCATTGGCCTTGCGTAGATCTTCGTACATTCATTTGTATTTGTTTGATTTAGGAGTGCAAAACAAAACTAAACAAAAATATATGTAAGAGTCAAGAATGGGAATGATGGACAGGGGCGGGTCCAGGTGAGGGCGTAATGGGCGTACGCCCCCCCTTTTCAAAAATAAAAAAAAAACTATCGTAATCTGCTAATATTGTATTGAATATGGCAATTTATCATTATTTTATGTTTTTTAGCAAAACAAAAGGTCCAAAAATTTTTTTCGCCTCGCTCTGCTCGGCAACATATTTAATTCTACGCCCCCTCCTTCAAATATCCTAGAAACGCCCCTGACGGATTTTACGGCCACAAGTCCAAATATATACATTAAGTGATATGGTTAGAATATGTTTAATAGTTAAATAACTCAGTTTGTCTCTCCACAATATGTCCTATTTTCGTTGCAAAATATAGTTAGCATGCATTTTGTGTCCGGGGATACAGGGACACGTATGTGTGGCTTAAACAAATCAGTACTTATCTGAACACATCGTTATATCTATATATAAAAAGATAAATAAATAGTGGAAACAAGTGGATACAGTGATATTTCCTATTACATTTGTATATATAAAACTTAAAAGAAAATTGGCATACAGGCGGACACAGCTGAACACAGTGCTATTTCTATGTTAAAATATAGAAACTGGTGGCTACAGGTGGACACAGTATTATTTCCTATATAAAACTTAAAGAAACAGGGGCTACAGGCAGACACAAGTGGACACAGTGTAATTTCTTTATAAAAAAAGAAACTGGGGTTTACAGACGGACACAGCGTAATTTTTGTATAGAAGTTTAAGAAAGAGGGGCTACAGGCGGACACACGTGGACACAACGTTATTTCTATATAAAATTATAGAAACTGGTAATTTTTATATAAAAGTTTAAGAAAGAGGGGCTACAGGCGGACACACGTGCACACAACATTATTTCTATATAAAATTATAGAAACTGGTAGCTACAGGCTAACACAGGTGGACACAGTGCTATTTCTATATAAAACTTTAAGAAGCAGGGGGCTACAGAAGAAGGTTGTCTTGTTGCGCATCGTTTTAATGTTCAAGAAAACCACTTTTCACGAGATATATGTGATTCGAATTGTCTACTACTATCTGGGTATGAATGCAATGCATGGACAGAGGGACGAAAGAACAGATGGATGGACCAATTCACCCATCACTATCTACCGTCCAATTTTCAAAATATCCTCCTGACCCAAAGATAATAAAACTTACTTCTCCATATGAAAGTTTAACACCACTTTCAACAATATCTCAATTTAATCGTGGTGTTCTGTTTTGTTGGTGAAGGAAGCCGTGATAACAAGAAAAAAAAAAACCAACTTCCGACCCTTCACCGAAACGTAAATTTTCACATGCTTGATAATGTCCAAACGTTGTAATCTTTTACAACTTAATTCGATAACCTCTCTTTTCCGAAAAAACTAACTGATAAAAGTTGAAAGAAAGAAAATGTCAGGGAAAATGTGAATAAGAGTAATTAATTCACACATTTTTAACGTTTTTTTAGGTATTGTCGCTTTTCAACATTACATTAAATTGCCAGTGACCTTTCTAGATAAATAAAGATATTAAGATAATCAAATTGAAAACGCTTTTGTTTCATTCTTTTTTTTTAAATGTCAAGTACACAAATTTCTAGTTTTAAGTTTATTTTTAGAATTTTACGCTACTGTGTAACACATTTCTCTATTCTAGAAAATGATATAAAGTAAGGAGATGTGGTATGATTGCCAAAATAGACAACTACATGTATCTTACCAGAGACCAAATGACATAAATGTTTGCAACTATAGGTCACCGTATGACCCCCAACATGGAGCAAAACCCATTTGCATAAAAGCTAAGAAAGGCCCCGACATGCAAGTATATTTTAAATAAATTTCAAATTATCGAACGTTTTTTAACAAAGATTGATGTAGAGTAAGAAATAGGATTCGAATGTGATTTGATTCCTGTGGTTTTTATACGACCGCAAAAAAATTTATGGTCGTATATTGGTATGACGTTGGCGTCGTCGTCGTCGTCGTCGTCCGAATACACAATGGTTTTCGCACTCTAACTTTAGTTTAAGTGAATGGATCTCTATGAAATTTTACCATAAGGTTCAATACCGCAATAGGAAGGTGGGGATTGATTTTGGGGGTTATGGTACCAACAGTTAAATAATTAGGGGCCAAAAAGGGGCCGAAAATAAGCATTTTTGTAACTTCCAGACATAACTTGTGTGTTATTGTATGGATCTCTTTGACATTGTACTACAAGATTCCATATCACAAAGGGTCGATGATGGGATTGATTTTGGGGTTAATTTCATCGAAATTTTAGGAATAAGGGGCCAAAAGGGGGCAAAAAACAAGCATTTTTCTAGTTTCATGACAATAACTTGTGTGTAAGTGTATGGATCTTTCTGAAATTTTACTACAAGGTTCCATTTCGCAAAGGGAAAGCTGGAATTGAGTTTTGTGGTAATTGCCCAAAACGTTTAGTAATAAGGGGCCTCAAAAGGGGTGAAAAATAAGCATTTTTTAGTTTCTAGACAATAACTTGTGTTCAAGTGTATGGATCTCTCTAAAATTGTATTACAAGGTACCATACCACAAAGGCAAGGCTGTTATTGAGCTTGGTTTGGGGGGGAAGGGGGGGTGATGAATCATAGGGGGGGGGGAGGTCAAAAAAGGGGTAATTATTTTTTTTCGTTTAAGGAATAAGGGGAAAAAAGGTTAAAAAACTAGGGTTTCCATTTTAATAGACAAATAATTGAGTAAAGAACATTATTTAAAAGCAGTGTAAGGTTGGTAATTCAAACTCATTTAAATATCTCACCTGCACTATGTTTGAATTATGTAAATTGGAAATTTGCCAATTATTTTAGTATAATAAACTTCATTGGAAATTTGCCAATATAAAATTTTGCTGATGAAGGTTTTTTGTTTACCTTTAGTCTGACTATGATGTCATTTTCTATTTTAATAGCCTTATGATGTAGTTAAATTTTTTTTAATACTTTTATGATGTATTTTAATGCGCTTTTATGGTTGCAAATTTATTGTTTTAATATAATAAACTCCATTGGAAATTTACCAATAGTTTGTTTATTTTTAGCTATGACTATGATGTCATTTTCTATTTAATTTTAAGGTTACAAATTAATTTCAGTTTTAAATATTATTGTAAAATGTTTGCCCAAAACATTTATTAATAAGTGGCCAAAAAAGGGGGCAAAAATAAGCATTTTTTTAGTTTCCAGACATTAACTTGTGTTCAAGTGTATGGATTTCTCTGAAATTGTACTTAAAGGTACCATACCACAAAGGGAAGTGGGTCAAAAAATTTGGGGGGGGGGGGGATTTTTTTTCCTTTTTTTTTTCTTTAAAATTTTCCATTTTAAGTTGGTTAATTCTGATCACAAAGAGAAAGTTGGAATTGAGTTTGGGGGATAATTGCTCAAATGTTTAGGAATAAGGGGCTAAAAAAGGGGTTAAAAATAAGCATTTTTTTTTAGTTTCCAACAATTAATTGTGTTTAATAATTGGATCTCTGTGAAATTGTACTGCAAGGTACCATACCACAAACTGAAGGCTGGGATTGAGTTTGGGGGGGCGTGATGTGTGAAAATTTTCCACTTAAAGTTGGTTAATTATTTCTGATTTAGATATAAAAGCAAATAATAATGATGTGGTTTGATTTTATCAAAAACTTAAATTGAAGTTATGTATATTGTAAATTTAGGTTACATTGGAATTTAAGAATTGGCTTTGGGGTAGGGTTATGGCTCAAACCTTTAAATAATAAGGGAAAAAAAGGTGAAAAAACAAGGGTTTCCAGGTTAATAGACAAATAAGTACAAAACATTATTTAAAAGCAGTGTAAGGTTGGTAATTCAAACTCATTTAAATATCTCACTTACACTGCTTTTAAATTATGTAAATTGGAAATTTGCCAATAACTTTATTGTTAATAAATGCATTGGAAATTTGCCAACAATTTTAGTATAATAAACTTCATTGGAAATTTGCCAATATAAAATTTTGCTGATGAAGGTTTTTTGTTTACCTTTAGCCTTGACTATGAAGTCATTTTCTATTTTTATAGCCTTATGATGTAGTTGAATTATTTAATACTTTTATGATGTGTTTAAATGGGGTTTTATGGTTGCAAATTTATTGTTTTAGTTTAATAAACTCCATTTAAAATTTGGTAATAAAAAAAAATTTTGTTTATTTTTAGCTATGATTATGATGTCATATTTTCTATTTTACTTTTACGGTTGCAAAGAAATTTTTATTTTTAGATATTACTGTTAAATGATGCTGATTAAGGTTTTTGCTATGTTTAGCCATGACTATGATGTCATTTTCTATTTTAATATCTGTCATGATGTATTTAAATGGGCTTTTATGGTTACAAAGGAATTTTATTTTTAGATATTACTGTAAAATGTTGCTGATTAAGGATTTTGTTTATTTTTAGCCATGACTATGATGTCATTTTCTATTTTAATACCTTTATTATGTAATTTCCATTTTTAGATATTACTGTTAAATGATGCTGATTGAGGGTTTGAATGCTGGGATTGATTTTGGGGGTAATTGCCTCCAAATTTTAGGAATTAGGGGGCAAAAAACAAGCATTTTTCTAGTTTCATGACAATAACTTGTGTGTAAGTGTATGGATATTTATGAAATTGTACTACAAGGTTCCATATCACAAAGGGAAAGCTGGAATTGAGTTTGGGGGTACTTGCCCAAAACGTTTAGGAATAAGGGGCCAAAAATAAGCATTTTTCTAGTTTCCAGACAATAACTTGTGTTCAAGTGTATGGATCTCTCTGAAATTGTACTGCAAGGTACCATACCACAAAGGGAAGGCTGGGATTGTTTTTGGGGGTAATTGTCTCAAAATGTTAGGAATTAGGGGCCATAAAGGGGCAAAAAAACAAGCATTTTTCTAGTTTCATGACAATAACTTGTGTGTAAGTGTATGGATCTTTATGACATTGTACTGCAAGGTTCCATATCACAAAGGGAAAGCTGGAATTGAGTTTGGGGGTAATTGCCCTAAACTTTTAGGAATTTGGGGCCAAAAAGGTGCAAAAAACCCAAGCATTTTTCTAGTTTCCAGACAATAATTTGTGTTCAAGTGTATGTATCTCTCTGAAATTGTACTGCAAGGTACCATACCACAAAGGGAAGGCTGGGATTGAGCTTGGGGGTGATGAATCATAAGGGGGTTTCAAAAAATTTGGGGGGGGGGATTTTTTTTTCCTTTTTTTTCTTTAAAATTTTCCATTTTAAATTGGTTATTTCTGATTTATATATAAAAGCAAATAATAATGATATGGTTTGAATAGGTAAATTAAAAAATTTTAAGTTCTTAGACTACTTTCATTCTGTGTGAGAAACCTATGCTGTGTCAAATATTTAATTACAATCCAAATTCAGTGCTGTATCAAGCTTGAATGTTGTGTCCATACTTTCCCCAACTGTTCAGGGTTCGACCTCTGCGGTTGTATCAAGCTGCGCCCCAGCGGAGCATTTTATTTTTTTATTCATTTATTTTCCTTGTCTAGTAGTCGTTCAACAAAATAGTTAAGAAATGGGGAGCAACGATCTTAAACTTAATCGATCACTACTATGAAACAATGCAATTTTAAGAATAATGATCGTGTTCTTTTGCTGGATCCTCTTCCATGTATTGCGGAATAATTGTAACTATTTATTGTGTAAAAATCATCTCAGCATTATCAAACAACCCTTACAGGTAACTATAATGAATGATTATCTGTGCTTTTTGAGATGGTCCCCACTATAGCCTGTAGTGGTATTGGTATTTAACATCAGGGTCAAAATCGTATTGACTTTCCTATTACGTCTAATGGAAACTTTGTTATAAACATTGGGGCCATACTACATGTACTATCTGTTCCTATTGGAACTTATATAATAAAGGAACCTCTATTTCATGACAACTGCACATTACTAGTAAACACCAGCTTCAAGATTGGTGGCAACGTTATTCATTTTATACAAGTAGACAGGAAAGGCAGGAAAAAAACCCCAATTTAAATTACAATGATAAAATTAGTTTGTATCCTCATCTGTGGATTAAACAACAGCTTGTATAATGGGTTCTTTGTTTACTTTCTTTTTAATTATTAAAGATCAAAAACTACCTGAAACTTTGTTAAAACACCAATCTGGTTATTGTAATTGATAACCAATCTAAACATTATTAATAGAATATTGAAAAACTTCAAACTAAAAGCCAACTGATTATTGTTTATTGTGTATTCTTCCTGCTTAATTACATAAGCTGAGTTTTTAACGATGTATAAAATGAACCTCTGAAATTCATGAAATTGTAAGTTTGGCAAAAAAATATATATATACATGTATATAAAAAAAAACGAAAAAATCTTCTCAACTAAAAAGGAAAGACAACGGTAAAAATAATATTAGGTGCCAGTTGAATTATCAAATGCTGAAATGACTTTAAATAGGTGCCGATTTAATTGACTTTTTCTAAAAATGCCGATTTGACTTGTACCCTTCAAGACATCATAATTATTGACTAATTCTTACCTGAATACCATTACGAAGAAAAAAAACTAAATTTGGTGTAAAACTCGTCACCCTTTTTAATCTGAAAAACAAACTCATATCGGGGTGTGTAAATGCTATGGCCGACTCACCCTACTAGTACATTTGACCGACCTGACAAGCAATTTTTTATGTCTTTGTTGCCCATGGACAAGTAAAATAAGTGTTGCTTGACAATGTTAATTTATAGAAAAGTCCTCCAAACTTATTCAGCAAAGTAGAAAAAATATCAACTAACAAGACAAAAGCAACATGTTGAAGTTAAAGAACATCAATAGGCTAAGATCCAGAAATAGATCGATTGCTTTCAGATCTGTCATTGGTAAAAAATGATGTAGTCGGATTTGGCGTGACTTTTATAAACCGGTAGATGGCGCATCAATGTATTCACAAATGTTGGCTTAATCTGCCAAGGGTGGAGAGAGAGGGGACTGAATCGTAACCCTTGGCTAGCGAAGATGACTTATCTTTTTATCATTTAAATATACAAAGAAAGACCATGAATACCATTTTCATTGTGTTTTAAAAACTGTTTAGGAACATGCACGTTTACCATGTTTACAGTGAAATACATCTTTTTCATTCCAAAATTCATTAAGTAATCAGGACAAGTAGATTTCTTCCGGACAAACAAAATTTACAATTTTACTTGCCCGGGGACAAGTGGTCACAACAAATATTTCCACACCCCTGCATATTATATATTGTTAATACTATAATATTTCACATTTTTTTATTAATGAACATTCATTTCTTCGAAATTCTGGTCATGTGAAAACAGCAAAATTAATGCAGTGTTGGGATCAATATACAAAGTACACGTCATCTGTATGAATACATCAACTAATGGGTGGTGGTACCGAAAGTTAGGTTTTCAAGGATCAAAAGTAGAATTTTTTAAATGTAAATCTACATGTATTTAAATCATTCAATTTGCACACAAAAACGTCAAGTGATCCAATTTTTTCAACCTCCAAATTAGAACAACTATCTCAATATGACAAACTCTATAAAAGCTTGCAGCTTGCTTTGCCCCTGTGATGTACTTGTAGTGATAAAACTTTGAGTCAAATACTCATAACAAAGTTTAAGTGAAACTTGTGCAGTCTCAAAATATGGAGAAATGTTTTTCAGGCAATTCAGGAGAACACAACTTAATACAAATATTTTTCTGTGAGGAGATCAAGCTGATCAACAAATACCATGGGTTATTCAAGAAGAACACATTAACTTTAAACCATTTGTCAACAATCCATGGTTGTTTAATTTACGTTGTAATAATTCTATGTACACATATTAAATGTACATTTTGTGTACATGCATGGTTATAATGTCAACTCCTGGAACAGATTTTTACCTTATATTTCATTATTACGAACAATTATGGCAAAGGCATTATTTGTTTTACAGAGCAGATATTGCAAGCATGTTTATGCAAAACCAGTATATGTCTTGATTTTTGTTCATAGCTTAGTGGGGGCATACATTTATTCAGCAGAGTGCTATTCTTTCTTGGCGGACATGTGTTCCTTAATTAGTTTGCCTTTATATTTCTAGCTGTGATCTTTTCATTTTAACACACAACATATGTCTGTTTATTTATATACAGATGCTAAAGGTCCAAAAACATCTAGTCGTAAGAGAAAACGAGAGAATGAAAATGATTTGCAAGCAAAAGTTGAAGAAAAAAAATCAGTAGAATCTTACTCCCATTGGATAATGAAGTCTGAACCAGAAAGTAGATTTGAAAATGGTGTGGATTTAAAGGTTTGAATTGTGTAATTCTTAAACCTGCATTATTCAAATATATGAAATATATATGCATATAGATATAGGAAGATGTGGTATGAGTGCCAATGAGACAACTCTCCATTCAAGTTACAATTTATAAAAGTAAACCATTATAGGTCAAGGTATGGCCTTCAACACAGAGCATTGGCTCGCACTGAACAGCAAGCTATAAAGGGCCCCAAAAAATTACTAGTGTAAAACCATTCAAACGGAAAAACCAACGGTCTAATCTATATAAAAACGAGAAACGAGAAACACGTATGAACTACATAAACAGACGACAACTACTGTAATCAGATTCCTGACTTAGGACAGGTGCAAACATTTGCAGCGGGATTAAACATTATAATGGTACCAAACCTTCTCCCTTTTCTGAAACAATAGTATAACATCACAACATAGAAAAACACACCATAAAATATCAATTGGAAGGCTTAACTCAATCAAAAAACGTAAATTAACACACAATGAACGAATAAATATGACCTGTGACACCTGAATGCAAATACACAGTTAATAAAAAATTACAAGGGATAAATAATTAAAGTCAAAAGTAAATAAACAGGTTTAAACAAAGTTAAAGTATGATATCACTGTGAAATTTCAAACAATTTATAGAAAATCATCACTTTTGAAGAAACCTGCGTCATATTATACACAGGTAAATGAAAATAATTTTGTTGTTAAGTATACTTCTTCTATGTGTATAAAATCTTCTGTTTAGGAATACCAAGAAATTTCTTTAATATCAATAAAACTAATCTAACACTTGTATATGCATGAACATTTTGTAATTTTGGTCATATTCTTTTTTAATGACAAGGGCAAATACACATTGATATACCATTTTGATATCCTTTTATTAGCTCACCTGGCCCAGATGGCCAAGTGAGCTTTTCTTATCACTTGTCGTCCATTGTCGCCTGTCGTCCTTTTTACTTTAACCTTTACAAAAATCTTCTCTGAAACTGCTGGACCAAATTTTACCAAACTTGGCCACAATCATCATTGGGGTATCTAGTTTAAAAAATGTGTGTGATGACCCAGCCCCCAATTAAGATGGTTGACATGGCTAAAAATAGAACTTAGGGGTAAAATGCAAGTTTTGTCTATTATTTTGAAAACTTTTATAAAAAGAGAAATTCTGACAGGGCAAAAATGACCAGAATGTTGAGCTCTACCAATTGTTTATTGACGTCAAAACTTTCAGACGACTTCTTATAGGAGTTATTGCCCTTAAATAACAAATTTTACCAATTTTGTTCATTTTTGCCTATTATCTTGAAAACTGTAATAGATAGAGAGAAACTTTAAAGTGCTAAAATGATCAGCAAGACAAGTTCTACAAATAAGCCTGATGGTCGAAATCGTAAGTAGACTCCTTATTAGAGTTATTGCCCTTTGATGACGATTTTTACCAATTTTTTGTGTTTTTGCCTTATATCTTAAAAATTATAACAGATAGATAGAAACTTAAATAAGCAAAAATGATCAGCAAGACACGATCTACAATTAAGACATATGAAGGAAATAGTCGGACAACTCTTTATTGGAGTTATTGCCATTTAATGACAATTTTTATCATTTTGTTTTGCATTTTGCCTGATACAAATGTGATATGATAAGATTTAAGAAGATAGGGAGAAACTAAATAGACTAAGTGATCAGCAATACAAGATCAACAAAACAGATTTTTGTCATGAATTCTATTCTCGTCTACAATGTTGGAGAATGTCCACTGTTGAATATGCACATAGACCAAGGTGAGCGACACAGGCTCTTTAGAGCCTGTAGTTAGCATCCTTGTCCCAGTGTGAGATTTGCGATCCATGATAATTTTTCAAATTGTAAATCTTCATTAGACATATTTGACTTTGAATTCAATATTTCCATGAGAAGAAATATGGTTTTTGTTGCTACGGATTTTTTTACCTTTCATTGGGTTATAAACATGATAAATGCACAGAGCTGTTGAAATCAGAGGAGGGTTTGCCAGACTTTGTGGCAGATAAAAAGTATCTCTGTTAGATACTCTATTAAATTCTCCAGATTTCCACAGGTTCTCATTAGAACTACTTATATAGTCCAGCCTAAATAGGTCTTAACATTTTCAACAGCTCTGAAAGCAATGTTGGAATTCTCATCAGTGCTTGCTTCATATGAAAAGTGCTTTTTACTATCAATGCTTTTACATCCCAATAAAATAAAAATATAAGGCTTTCTATAGTCAAGTAATTAATTGATAAATGAAATTCAGGTCATCAGTTTTTAAGTTTACAAGTGTCCGACTTTCAAAATGACCCCAAACATTTTTTCTGCTTAATTATCTACAGAACGTTATCAGTATGTCTTCTTCCAATATCTTCCCAATTCACAATTAAAAAGGCTTAAATTTTTCCTAATTGAGGTCCCTGAATTTCAATGCATGTTTAAATCGCAGATCAAAGTGTCCGCATTTCTGTAAAAATAAAAAAAAAAAACATTGTGTTTCTTTTCCCAGAGACTGTCATATCATACAATGACATTCCAAAATTGAAAATATTATGTCAAACACTGAAAAAGTAGGATGCAAGGAAAAACCACATAATTACTTAAAATTATTTCACGGCAAACAGGGTCTGATCATATTTCCTAGCATGATGTTAAATTGACCTTTAGTCAGCTAAATTTTAGTATTCTGACAGAGAGATTGTTGAAACCTGAATTAAAAATAAGGAGATGTGGTATGATTGCCAATGAGATAACTATCCATCAGAATAAAATGACGTGGATATAAGCAATAATAGGTCACAGTCCTCTTCAGTTTGAAACTTTTTATCCGAAATAAATAAACATGTCAGAATTTATGGTCTTTAATATTATTTATCCCTTTATGACTAAAAAGAGATGTGTAGTATACATCATGGAGAACGCCCAACTGCAAAAATAACCAAAAAGAGGGCAACATACTTTTTAAATGTCAAGCTCTGAATCGTCCCAAGTCTATAAAGGTTGTGAATGAATTAAACAGAAACAATCAAAGATGTGCCATCAACACCCAATTCTACAAATAACAAACAATATTAAGATATTAAACAAGGCCACCAATGACCAGGTTCCTGACTTGGGACAGGCACGAATATGTTGTAGTTTAAATCTAGCTTTTTTAGATCTTAACTTCCCTCTTTTTTAATTGCAATCAGTTAACTAGCAAAACGTACATAAAAAGAACATACCGGTACAACAGAACTACATACTGGAAAAGCACATTACTTTTAAATAAATTTATGATAGATGGCAAAAACACAAAATGATCATCAAATTTTTTAAAACGTGTTTACTTCCAATCAAAAACATTAACTGGTCTTGTAAAGTAGTTCTGTGCTGACAAATATGAGACCTTATTTTGATGTTGTTTTATAGTAGTGCCAAGATTTGTATGTAAATATTGTACCGTTTTGGGTACAAAATAGCAATCTATATCTGGAAATGAAGTTGAGCTCAAATTGAAAAAACCTTTAAGTTGGGCACTAATCCAACCAGAAATCGTAGTAAACAATGATAAAACAAGGCCTAGAATCTGCATTGGAGAGCCTGATAGAACAGACATTATGCAAAGTTGAAAGAACTACAAATTTATGCAGTTTGAGCAAACAATTATTGAATCAATCATTTTCATCAGTAAAATATTCACTTTCAAAAATAAAATGAAGAATTCAATTAATTTTCAGTTTGGTATTGAAGATTTAAAACAGTGTGAGAAACAAACAGCTTGCTGGGATGGTGTAAGAAATTATCAGGCAAGTTATTGTGAGCTTTTAGTAGTCTAAAATAAGTACCAATATGTGTTGCAAGAAAAATCTGCATGATAAAATCTACATGGTAAAATCTAATGGACTATATCAAATGCAGACAACCCGTACATCCCAAAAGGCAAGGAACAATAGTACATGATAAATCACAACGTCAAATGCACACACATAACATATAAACAACAGACAGCACAGAATACTGTAGTTTGGGCAATACAAAGTGAAAAAGTAAGGAGAAGTTGTACGACTACCTGAAGACAACTAATAGATATAAGAAGATGTGGTATGAGTGCCAATGAGACAACTCTCCATCCAAGTCACAATTTGTAAAAGTAAACCATTATAGGTCAAAGTACGGCCTTCAACATGTAGCCTTGGCTAAGTTAACATACAGTCTTCACCAATAGTCAGGTGTCCACATTTTGTCAAGCTCCTAATCAGCTCTAAATATGGTTCTTAATAAATGACAAAAAGGGTGTTTAAAATATTATTTTACAGATTCTGTAATTATGTAAAAGAGTTATGGAATAACCTTTGTGATTGTAAATTACAATAGAATTGAATACAAAAATGATGTCTTTCTGATAACATTTCATTTCAGGCCAGGAACTTTATGAGGGATCAGATGAAGATAGGACATAAGGTGTTTTTCTATCACAGCAATTGTAAAGAGCCTGGAATAGCTGGGATTTGCAAGGTAAAATATATTTGGTCACAATGTTGGGAATGTACCACAAATAGCCATTTGTAAGTTAGTCTGTGCAACAAAAAATGTTTCCTGTTTTCCTCAGGCCAGATTACAAAATATGCCAGTTGGCAATATCTATCATCCTTGACCTCATTTTCATGGTTCAGCAACTGCTTTATAAAACCAAATTTGTAGTGTTTTTTATTGCAGGATTTGCTCACTTTTTATGACTGACATATAATAAGACAAGTATATTTAGTATTTAAAATTGTTGCAAGGTATACATGTCTGTCAGATAGTGTTCACCTGACTTTGACCTAATTTCATGGATCCGTGATAAAAAATGTTAAGTTTTTATTGTAGACTGTTTCTCAAAAACTATTAGCAATAGGTCAATTATATTTAAAAAAAAAAAAAAGAATTAACAAACTCTCAAAAGAAAGGTGCAATTTCACTAATATTTAAAAAGAATGACCCTCTTTCATTAAATAATTACCGTCCCATAACTTTATTGAATATTGATACAAAACTATTAGCTTATGTGTTAGCTCAGAGACTTAAAAAAGTTCTACCATCTATCATTAGTCTAGATCAAACCGGATATGTTAAAAACAGATATATTGGTTTTAACATCAGACAAATACAAGAGAAATTTAATATAGAAGGAGCAATTCTTTTTTTGGATTTTAGTAAAGCCTTTGACTCGTTAGAATGGACATTTATGACGGAAACTCTGAAAAAGTTTGGATTTAAAACTAGTTTTATCAGATGGGTTGAAACTATGTATAAAGACATAAAGGGATGTATTTTAAATAATGGGTTGGTCTCAGGTCCTTTCAAAATATATCGTGGAATACGACAAGGGTGTCCGATTTCGGCTCTCCTTTTTTTCATAACAGTAGAATTAATGGCAATAAGACTAAGAAGTAATAAAGATTTTAAAGGAATAAAAATAAAATTAGAAGGAAAATCTTGTAATTTAAAAGTTTGCCAATTAGCGGATGATACAACACTCTTTCTACAGTCAAGAAAAGAAATAAGTTTGGCTCTTAGCATAATTGAAACATTTGGAAGTTTTTCAGGACTTAAACTTAATAGAAACAAAACAGAAGGGGTATGGTTAGGGAGATTAAAAAGTTCAAATGATAAATATGAAAATATAAAAGATTATCTACAAAATATAAATAAAATCTTATATAAATTCATTTGGAATGGAGGAAAAGATAAAATAAAAAGGTCAATAATAATAAAAAAATTCTCTGAGGGGGGGTTAAAAATGATTGATATGGAGTCTTATATAAAATCAATACATTTAAAATGGATTTTAAAAATACTTCAATCAGGAAATGCAAACGGGTCTGTATTATCAAAATTACACCTTAATAAATTTGGAAAAAACCTGCTGATTTTCAAGATGAATCTAAATAGCACAAAACTTCTAGATAGAAAAATATGGAATGATACACCAATCTTCTATCAAGAGATGATAAAAACATGGATAACTGTAAACAATTATGAAAACAATCATCATGATCAAATCGATAATTATTTAGATATCAGAAAACAAGTAATATGGGGCAATAGATCCATAAAATTTCAAGCGAAATGTCTGTTCTTTAATAATTGGATTGATAGTGATATATTATATATAAATGACATAATTGATAATAGGGGAAATATATCAGAAGAAATAATTATTTCAAAATTAAGAAATAAAAGCAATTGGATTTCTGAACTATCAAAACTAAAAAAATCCATACCAAAACAATGGATAGACAAATTAAAAACAGAGGAATCATTCAAAACTAAAGTCCATATTAACCGAACTAAAATTAAACTTAGAGATAATAATAATGTACTAACTATCAATAACAAAGACATATACAAAATAGTACTAAGTCTAGTAAAAATAGAAATACCAACCGGTTTTTTAAAATGGGAAAGAGTCTTAAGTATAGGAAGACTAAAAAATGAATTCAAAGACTCTATTAAATTCACTTTTGAGTATCTTAAAGATAATAAAATAAAAATGTTCAGGTGGAAACTAATGCATTATATTTTGCCAAACGAGGAGCTGCTTTTCCAGTGGAAAATTTCAACAAACAATTTTTGTTCATACTGTAATAAACTAGATAATTATAATCATTTTTTCATTACATGTTCATATCATAAAACATTTTGGAAATCAATGAAAGGTTTACTTCAAAAAGTCTGCATTGATGAACATGTAATAAGTCTCCATTCTCTTGTAATAGGATACAAAATTTATGATGAGTCATACTATGCACTAAATCATCTGCTTAGCTTAATGTTCTTTTCAGTTTATAAAGCACATTATGTTTCTAATAAAAAGGCTAAAATGGTAGACACATTAAGAATTTTCAAATATGAAGTAGAAAATATAGTATAGCAAATATAGAGATAAGCTGCTTATTAACAAAGGTGTTGAATATTTTGAGAAAAAATTGATGTCATTTTATGGTATTAAAATGCATTAAGCTAATAGTTAAAAAAAAACAGAGGCTATCAATTAATGGGTTAATGCTTGTGATATTTTAATTGTAAATGTACAATGTAAGTACCTACATGTATCTATATATGTTACGGTATGTACTTTGGGTGCGTGGGAGTTGTGTATAAATTTGTTCGCAAAAAATTAGTCCAAATGGTTGTGACTTCTTGAAGGGCTAATTTAGTTTCTTTTTCTGTGAGGCTTACCTACTTCGAAGGAAGTTGTCAGGGAAAAATGATTGGGTTGGTCTGTTGAGACTCAAAATTGTTTGGACTAGCTTAATAATTCACCTCTGATATGAAGAAATGAGTACAAAATAAAACAGTATGAAATGTGTGTATCAAATAGGTTACTAAAAACGGGGCTCTATACTCTGAGCAAAAATTGATGTAATTTTATAAAATTAAGCTGGTACTATTAATAGAGATACAGAAAGTATTTTTGTTGTACGTACCTGTACTGTAGAAAAAAGCATAGGCATGTGATGTTGTACATTGTACAATGTTGTAATTGCAAAAGTATGTATGTACCAAAGTATGTTCCTGTGGATAATTCAGATGCATTGGTATATGTAGGCGTGTGTGTGATCTTTGAATATATTGGTGCTGTACCAATGTTTTAAATGTTTACAAACATTTGATAGGTAAAGGTCACAACACAATATTTATTTGGGTCAAATCAATAACGAATCTATTTAATAATTAAGTTGTAAACACAAAATTATATTAGTACAACAACATACCTTTTCGAATCATTATTCCAAATTTTCAAATCATTAAATAATATATCCAAACACCAGGATTGAAAATTATGTATTCTCAAAATTGAAAGATTGAAAAGAACGTGCTAGGTCACTGACCGCATTTTGCTTCTGATACATTAAAGATAGTAAAAAAAAACCCAATTCCAGAGTAAAGAATAATTTCCGTAAAAATACTGACAAACTTGTGTAATTATAGATATTGGAATATTACAGATATTATTATAAATATAAATAGTATACAAATTTTGTATTAATAAAGACTGTTTGTAACAGTAATTTATTTATTCAGATATTTATACCAATGTTATTTATTATTAATTCTACTGAATATTCTCCCTGGATATTTAGTAGTAAATTTAGCAGGGATACCTGGTGGAATGCTGTACACCAAGTTTTATTGTTAAAACAGCAATATGTGCAATAAAGAATCAATTTGAGTGTTAAAAAAAAAGAAAAAAAGAAACGAATTAAATTATATAGAGAAAACATTTGTGAGGGTCTAAAAGTGACCATTAGAGGCAGGTGACCGCTAAGACGAGGTGACTGTTAAGGCAGGTTTGACTGTACTTGAAAGGTGTTGGTGCCCGTATGTCAGGGTCATCTAACCTTGACCTCATTGTCTTTGGATCATTGATGTTAAGTTTATGTGATACCTGTAGTCAAACCTTGATCTTAAACATAAAATTCAATCATGATTAATAAAGCAAGGGAGACATTTCAGTATGTATTAAAATAAATGAAGCATTCTTGGGTTTATTGCAAAAATCAGAAGTATATAAATTTTATATCCGAACAAGTTGATACAATCAGCAGTTTATCTATTTCAGATAGTGAAAGAAAGTTATCCTGACCACACACAGTTTGACTCTGCTGATCCCCATTATGATAGGTAAATATTGGTTGAGAAATGTTTTTCAATACTTTATAAAAAAGCACTGTTTGATCCACAACTAGTCCAAATAATTATGACATCTTGCAAGGCTATTTTAATTTTTTTCTGTGAAGCCTTCCTACGGAGGAAGGCGCCACAGAAAAAAAATTTATATCTCAAAAACTAAAGCATTTAGAGGAAATCAGACAAGAAGTTAAAGTATTTTATTAGGTCAAGGTCTGCCTGCTCTGAAATTATCAGCCAAATCAGTTATCTGATTTTTAGGTTATTGCCCCAGAATTGATGATTTTAAGGAAATTTGGCAGTTTTCAGTTATTATCTTGAATATTATTATAAATAAAGATAAACTGAAAACAGCAAAAATGTTCTGCAAAGTAAGATCTACAAATAAGTTTGATGACCAAAATTGTCAGTTGACCCCTTAAGGAGTTATTGCCCTTTAAAGACAATTTTTCACAATTTGCTCATCTATTTTGCTTAATTTAAAATAAATGTTCTCCTTTGAAACTGTTGAATCAATTTCAGCCAAACTTCAGCTAAAAGAGTTTCAGAGTATCTTGTATAAATTTTGTATTTTATTTCCTTGAACGTCAAGAAACATAGCCACTATGGCTAAAATGAAACATAGGGGTAAAATGCATTTTTTTGCTTTTGAAGAAAATATGACAGATACAAAGAACATTTAAATGGCATTTTTAAGCCACTCATTAATTTATATTGAAAAGCAAAAATAATCATTGATGAAAGATTTAAGCAAAAAATTACAGGTGAGCAATTCAGGCTCTTGAGAGCCTCTTGTTATTATGCCCCACGTAGGGGCATTATGTTTTTCGGTCTGTGCGTCCGTTCGTCTGTCTGTCCCGCTTCAGGTTTAAGTTTTTGGTCAAGGTAGTTTTTGATGAAATTGAAGTCCAATCAACTTGAAACTTAGTACACATGTTCCCTATGATATGATCTTTCTAATTTTTATGCCAAATTAGAGTTTTTACCCCAATTTCATGGTACACTGAACATAGAAAATGATAGTGTTAGTGGGGCATCTGTGAACTATGGACACATTCTTGTTTGATCCTGAAATAAGTTAAAATTATCCCCTGCATGAAAAATTTCCACATTCACATTATCTGTGATATTTACTTATTTAAAAATTGGAAAAAGAATTAAAATGCTCTGTTTCATGGAGGAATCCTAACTTACCGAAAACTGCCATTGATACGTCTGAATATATTGGGAGCCTTGTAAGGCCTCAATTATAAGCAAAAATTCCTTTTTTGTGATAATTAATTGAAAAGCAAATTTTGTATTGTTCCTTCAGAAGTGCAAAGAAAGATGCTCCAAAGTGGTTCATGGTGGATGTAAAGTTTGAGAGGATGCTGAAGCGGTTTATTCCATTATCAGAACTTAAATCTCTACATCTTAATCACAAGGCTGATGGTGGGACACTGAAAAATATGGCTTTATTTACAAGGGCAAGGTTGTCTGTACAACCTGTAACTACAGGTAGTGTATTGGTTATATAGCTTGAAGTATTGCTTTATTCATTGCAGGTGGTTAAATTTTTTTATATTATTTGTGAATTTTACACAAGATTTTTCTTTAACCTTTGTAAAAGACTTCTTGGTCAATGTATTTTCGGATTTCAATATGAAAACTGGGGGTCACCAACATTTCTTTCCATTAAATTATTAAAATTGAAATTAACGAAATCACTGTTATTTTATATACCGGTAGGTTATATAGGGGAAACTTAATTTTTCCTTATTGAGGAAATATTAAACAATAGAATTGGATAAAATTCTATGAGAGAATTGCTTTTCATAATTACTTCAGAAATGTCAAATAAAAATAGGGGTCACAGCCCTTATTTTCTTGAATAATCCAAACAACACAAATAGACCCTTGAAATTCAACATAATTATCTGCCCTTGAGGATTTTTCTGAAAATTTTAAATACACATAATGACATTTAATTTTTTGATAGTTTAATCTTTAAATTCAAGTTTTAGATGCTTCTGTTGTATATTGAATGATACTTGGTAAAATATTTTTAAACAAAAAAAGTATTTTTGCAACATCTCAAAAGGGAATCTCAGAAAAACACACTCGAACTCCTTTAAAACTGAAATAAATAAGTTGTCAGAGTTAAATCTATTGTAATCTTTGTTCAAGTTGTACAGTGCTATAATGTACACGCAATTTTATTCCTCATTTACACAGTCACAGGGGACATTTCACTACTGCTTAGCAATCTTGTTAGCCTTTAGTTAAATGGAAAATATTTTTTTTATTTGCAGAGGAGTGGGATTTCATAATAAACTTGGAGAATGAGAAGACATAAAGATATGTTGATCAATGTTGTGAATATCTGATTGCTGAAAGAGATGAATGTGCAGTTGGATATAAGTAAAAATATAAATGCTGAATTCATGTTTTACAGCATGTACATGTAGTACTGATATATGTCTCATTTCAGAAACAAAATTACCTGACCTGAGAAGTTAAACATATATGGAATATAATTCTCATTTTATATATTGTACAACAAAATTGTTTTGTAATTATCATCTGTCAGGACAGACTTGTATATTAATAAAAATGAAATATTGTTAAAGATTTTTTTTAAAATCCAAATAATATATAACATTGCTAAAAATAGAACATAGGGGTAAAATGCAAGTTTTGTCTATTATTTTGAAACCCTCTTAAATAGAGAAAATCTGACTGAAGCGGAAATGTTCAAAATGTTGAGCTCTACCAATTGTCCTCATACATCAAAACAGTCAGATGATTTCTTACAGAGTTATTGCCATTAAATGACAAAATTTACCTATTTTTTTATTCCCCTAAGAAAATAAGTCGAAGGGGACTTTAGGTTTGCACTCCACTGGTCTGTCTGTCTGTCTGTCCATCAGTCAGTCCGGCAAATCAGTTTTCCACACTTTTTTCTTCGTGTTTAAAGATATTGATTTGATATTTAGTATATTGTTCTATCATGACAAGTTACAGATCAAGTTCGAATTTTGTTCCAGTCTGATGATTTTGTGCAGAGTTGTGGTCCTTGGACCTAGAAAATTCACTTAAATAATCATTTTTCCACACTTTTTGTCATCATGCTTGAAGATATTGACTTGATATTTGTTATATAGTTTACACCATGACAAGTTATAGATCAAGTTAGCATATTGTTTTCCAGTACAATTAATTTTTAACTGGTAGGGGACTATGTATTGCCATGCAATACTCTGAGAATGCTTGTTAATTTTTGCATATTATGCACATAGACCAAGGTGAGCGATACAGGCTCTTTAGAGCCTCTAGTTGAAACTATTAGAAATTTTATTGAAATGTTTTCAACCACTAAACACAGGTTAAGTTTATTTTTTGTCATTTTCATTTTAACGGTTAACCGTTCCAGAGTGTTTGAATTGATATTTTTTTTAATTTTATGTTTTACAGATATGATCCCTCAGCTGCTGCAGGTGGAGTATCTGTGATCATTAGATAATTTCAAGTTATTTCACTCCCAGCTGCTGCAGGTGGGGTGTCTGTGATCATAAGATAATCTTTAGTTATTTCAACAGACAAATTACATATTTGAATTTCCAATGTAAAATATGAAAGATCCTTATACAACATTGAAAAGTAGCAAACCTTGGACCTTTCCAGTTTTATTCGACCACAAATTTTAAATAACAAGTGATCCTTGGTTCTATTAAAACAAAGGACATAGGAAAATGGAGACTCTTGCTTCAACAATTATGAATACCTACCTATTGTTTATCTTTCATATATGATAAGTTGTTGCATTAGCTTCTATACAATCCAGTTTCCTTCAGTCATATTCAAACAAGCATTCTGTGAGTTTTGCCTGACAATACATAGTCCCCTACCGATAAAAATTCATTGTACTAGAACAAAATGCTAACTTGATCTATAACTTGTCATGGTGTAAACTATATAACAAATATCAAGTTATTATCTTCCAGCATGACGAAAAAAAATGTGGAAAATTGATTTTTGAGTGAATTTTCCAAGTCCAAGGACCATAACTCTGCACAAAATCATTAGACCGGACCAAAATTCGAACTTGATCTGTAACTTGTCATGATAAAACTTTATACCAATCTTAAAATCAATATCTTCAAACATGACAAAAAAAAGTGTGGAAAACTGATTATTTGAGTAAATTTTCTAAGTTCAAGGACCATAATTCTGCACAAAATCGTCAGACCGGAACAAAATTCGAACTGGATCTGTAACTTGTCATGATAAAACAGTACACCAAATATCAAATCAATATCTTCAAGCACGAAGGAAAAAAGTGGAAAACTGATTTGCCGGACTGATGGATTGACAGACAGACAGAAGGATGGAGGTGCAAACCTAAAGTCCCCTTCGACTTCGTCGGTAGGGGACTCATAATTTGTGACTTTTTATGATGTTCAGATGCAAAGTTATTTGACAAGGTGTGTTATGAAGAACTACTTATGACAGACCATTGATAATTGGTAGGCTGTTGCATTAGAACTAGCAAATGTTGAAACTCGACCACCATCAGTCTTTCTTTTTATATTATTTTTTGGTGACAATGATTCAGCATGGGTTCCATTAGGAAATCATATTTTCATCTTTCAATTTAAATGATTATATAAAGTTCTCTTATACTGAAAGTATAGGTCTTAATCTTTTCAAACTATACACACATGTTGTACATATTGGAATCAGTAGAATTGATTTGGTGGTCACATACATAGCAGCACTGGTGTCACATAATGGGTTCCCATTCAACCTAATGCAAAATTTATAAATTTGACCTGGCAAGTATTAATGTATTTAACAGAAATAATGTGCTTTATGGGGGGTCTTCCATATAAAGTCCTCTATCAATCAAATAAAAAATGTAACAATCCCACTATTGTCAAAAGTAACTCGTAATTATGTTACATTTTAAAATGCAAGGACAAATAGCTGAAAACAGGTATAAGGGACCAAAACTATTGCTGGTGAAATAAATGGTACTGAATTGGTTTAAGAGTTTGAGAGTGACCATTGACATTTTGTTTGGGTCCATTTTTGAGAAATAGGCTCTTTACTCCCAAAGGAGCTAGACTGGTTGTGTCAACATGGTAAGGGATCATAGATTTATTCTTACGAGGAAGCTCCGAGCATGCTCGGAGGATGCTCAGAGCTTTTTAAGTAGGCTCTTCTCAGCAGTTAATGTGACAATAATTATCATGATCCATTAAGATGTCAATCAAATCTACACCACTTCTATGATAAGGAAAGTAGAGCATTATAGAGGATGCTCCATAAACACCTGTGTAAACATATGGTCTATTCTAATACATTTTGCATTAAATTTTACAAAACTATAAAATAGATTAGAAATTCTTCAACAGTGCTGTGTAATGCTTAGAAAGAAATCTCAAGTCTCCACAAAAAGTAAAAGTCATTTAAATATTTTCTTATTATATTTAATAATCATTCCTTTTTTTATAATAAAAAAATTCTCAAATTTTATAATTAGATGATATGATTTAAAAATAGTTTATATTATATAATATGCTACATAAAAGTTATCAAGACACAAACAACAGTCAGGTGGTGATACTAAACAAGTAATTTTTTTTAGTCACTTTTATAAATATTTTTTGTTTTTAAAAATTATTTAATAACTCAATAGTAATTTTAAATGACAAATAAAGCATGGACTAAATGTAGTTTTCAAGAATTGTTATATCATTTCATTAAATAAAATTAAGTATTTATCCAATTTTAGATGAGTATAGAGAGGTTACTTTAAAAAATAATGACAAAAATATTACTTTAATAAATTATTTTATACAACTTCAAAAAACTTAGTACTTACAATTATTTAAGGAATATATGTAATTGCTTTCGATTAAGATTCAAATTATAAATAACTTCAAGTCTTAATTAAAGGTTCCATATCTAGTTTATAACTGTCTATCTCTAAGATTTTAAGGGGAAATGATATTATAATAGCCCCAAGAGGCCAATCTTTGACCAAGAAGTGTGGCATCAGAAAAGCAATTAGTGCTTGTTGAGGATTTAAATAGCTTTACCAGTATATTTCATGGGGAAAATAACCAGATATCTGTGAAAATTTGTTAAAGCTAGTAAAACCTGTATGGATGAACACCTATAAAAATAATATTAACAGAAGTTACTTATTCATGATATAGAAGTAATATTTGAAACAGCCTTGTTTTCAACATAACTTGTATAGGTAATTTTGAAAATTACTTGTTTAAGTAATGCCCCTAACTAAACAATGGTAATATGTTTTTTTTAAATTGCAAACTAAGTTCTTTTATAGAAAATTATGGCTACTTTAAGAAAACTTTAAATTCATTAGTGGATGCCTGGTTTGAGGGGGTAATACCACCATTGTTTTCCCTCTAGTACGTCTCTCTTTACTTGGCATTTTTTTTTAATTGTGCAGATTTAGCTTTGTTTTAAATAAAGAAATACTTGGCATGAGTAAAATTATTTTCCCCCTATAAGTCTTTGTTTAATTGTCATGATTGTTATATTTCAAAAAAAATGTGCAGAATTTATCTATGTTTTAAATAAAGAAATACTTGACATAAATAAATGTCCTGTACTACAGTGAAAATATAGCATAACTTTTCAGTGAATATAAGAAAGTAAACATCACCAGAAGTTAACCAATCAAATTCTCTCCCCTTTTTTCCCTGTAGAATATAATATATTTTTATTGCTTTGAAACACCCAAGAAACATGTTTGCGTCTCAAAAAAACTTTTCTGCAATGAAATGGAGGATTTATTTCAAACAACTGTCAAATTAAATGGAATATAAAAAAAGATCAACCCTTTTTCGTATGAAACTGAATGTACTATGTTTTGGTAGTATGGTTATAAATCAATAACCATAGTTTGTGTCTTTGATGACTTTTATATTTCATTTTATATAGTATAAATTTAAAATATATTTATATTTCAAATATAAAATTTGAGTGTTTTTTTATATCATGTGTATTGAAAAAGAATGATAATTACTAAGAAAATGTTTTGAAATCATTTTCTTTCTGTGAAGACTTGATACCAAGCATTGTACAGTAATATTGAAGAATTTCTCATCTATTTTATAGTTTTGTAAAATTAATGCAAGATTTGTTTGAATAGACCAGATGTTTACACAGGTGTTAATGGAGCTTCCTCTATAATGCTCTACTTTCCTTATTATAAAAGTGCTATAGATTTGATTGACATCTTAATGGATCATGATAATTATTGTCACATAAACTGCTGAGAAGAGCCTACTGAAAAAGCTCCGAGCATCCTCCGAGCATGCTCGGAGCTTCCTCGTAAGAATAAATCTATGATCCCTAAGCGTCACCTGCTGTACATGCATCACCCGTCATGTTAAAATGTCACAATATGTCAACAGATCAAACGACTTTTATGATTTCTAAAGACCTAAGACAATGAAAATATGTCACTATTGATTTGAGACACACACACACACATCATATTGGTCAACCAAGTCATGATGGTGACTGTATGTGGGGTAGATTTCAGTCGTTTTCCCTCTTAAATCTGTAGGAGCAGTTTTTGTGTAAGGAGCACACATCTGTTAATGGAGTTTGTATTGCCAAAACATACCCAGCCATAACACGTTGAGATATGTTAACACTTTAAGATGGGGCTAAGGGTATGTTACATCTGAGAAATGGGAAGTTGACAATTGCAAAGTTGAAATCATCACATTTGTCTCGATTCTATTTTGAAGTCGTCCATCTGTGTCAACATCGCTGAAAAGATCAAGATATGAAGTACACCTAGTTTTGGTAGTATCCTTAATCTTAGGTTCAATGGGATATATGAGATGCGAGCACTTACTGCAATGTGGGTTACTGAGTGACAGAATAACATCAATATAACTGAAAGTGAAATGAAGAAAAAACTTTAAGAAGATTCCTTTTATGTCATTGAGAAGGTTCTGTATGAATTCTGCTTCGTCTAGTAGGAGCATATAATAAGTACTCATCGGAATACCGACTCATTTGAAATATTCATCCACTAAACACAACAAATGTGTCGTCGATAATGTTCTCATGTCTGTAGAAATTGAGAAATAATTGACCAACGTTTCATGCAATTTTAATTTCACAATATATGAATCCTTTACATTTATTTTTTCATAATTAAGCACACGTGTTTCTCTTCCCACATACAAACTGAACTAGTCATCATATACAAATATGCACCAAAATAAAACTGTTTTTCATGAACGCATTTGCCAGCTTAATAGTGAATGTTACTCTTGATGCCCAGTATAATAAGTCTCATGTAGTGGTTACAAATTCTGATATGTTGATTGTGGAACATATTTGAATGCAATAGTCGTGTTTTGGAGTGTAAACAACGTACTCCTATCTTTTATACCTGCATCTGCATTTTTTATCAGTCTAGTTATTACTATTATTATCATCTTCAAAATCCCGTCTTCCCAGTTTTTCAGTTAAGACTGTCTAATGTTTTGTTCATTTGTCATTTGAATCAATGCGTATATTCTTGTCAGTCCCATATTGTCTGGTAAGCAGCTGTACCACGCTCAGTGTCTCTATTTGCATCTACAGATAAGTCCACGTACATATCATGATCTGGTGGTTGTTGGTCAGTCTCCAATGGTACAGATGAAGGAATAATAGACGGTTCGTCTGTAATTAATAAACTTGTGTTAATATTGTATAAATGTGTGTGTGCGTGTTGCGATTATGCCGGTAATTTAAACAAATCTGCACATTTAAGCAACCAAGAGGGTATATTTTTGAAGTCTATATAGGAGCTTTTACATGGCGTTCGTTTCGACTTGCGAGTTTGGTATCTTTCGGCTCCCTTTTTTAAACCTGCATGTGATCAACTATTATAGTAGATCGTGTGGACCACTCCAGCTCAGTTCTACACCCTGTGTTTATTAGGTATACTATGATGTACAACCGCCGATATTAGTGTGTTGGACAGCATGATTGTAGTATCTGTAGGTTAAGTATTGTCTAAACTCATCTGACACAGATATCAGTATAAAAATAAGGAGATGTGGTATGATTGCCAATGATACAACTATCCACCAGAGTTCAAATGAAGTGGATGCAAGCAATTATAGGCAACCGTGCGGAAGAAATGAGAAAAACCCATACCGTATAGTCGGCTATAAAAGGCTCCGACATGAAAAATGTGGAACAATTCAAACCAGAAAACTAACAGCCTAATTTTTAAGAAAACAATTTGAGAAAAATAAATATGACAGACATGAACCAACGACAAATACTGAACTACAGGCTCCTGGCTTGGGAGAGGCATAGAAAGAATGTGGCGGGGTTAAACATGTTTGTGGACACTCAGCCCTCCCCTAGCCTGGGACAGTGGTGTAACAGCACAACATAAGAACATACTGTAACTAGAGGCTCTAAAGAGCCTATGTCGCTCACCTTGGTCTATGTACATATTCAACAAAACACACTCTCCAACATTGAAGATGAGAAGAGAATTCAGGACGAAAATCTCTGTTTTGTTGATCTTGTATTGCTGATCATTTAGTCGGTTTAGTTTCTCTCTATCTTCTTTAGTTTTTGCTCAAAACACAAGAGAGGGTTTAAAAAAATTCTCATTTAAGGGCAATCATTCCTATAAAGAGTGACAGTGGCAAAATTTAACACGTTAGTACGTCTTTCCCTGCTGGTCATTTTTGTTATTTAAAGTGTCTATTCATCTATTATATTTTTTATCATATCAGACCAATAAAATGGTAAAAATCATCATTAAAGGGCAATAACTCCAATAAGGAGTTGTCGGACGATTTCCTCCTTATTGTCTTAATTGTAGATCTTGTCTTGCTGATCATTTTTGCTTATTCAAGTTTTTGTCTATCTACTATAATTTTTAATATATAAGGCAAAAATGCAAAGAATTGGTAAAAATCGTCATCAAAGGGCAATAACTCTAATAAGGAGTCGACTAACGATTTCGACCGTGCAGACTTATTAATAGAACTTGTCTTGCTGATCATTTTTGCAATTTCAAGTGTCTATCTATTATAGTTTTCAAGATAATAGGCAAAAATGAAAAAAAATGGTAAAATTTGTCATTGTCAATAACTCCTATAAGAAGTCGTCTGGCAGTTTTGACATTCTGAACATTTCTGCTCTAGTCTCAAAATAATAGACAAAACTTGCATTTTACCCCTATGTTTTATTTTTAGCCATTTCGGCCATCTTGGATGGCAGGTGGGGTCATCAGACACATTTTTAAAACTAGATACCCTAATGATGACTGGCTAAGTTTGGTTAAATTTGGTCCAGTAGTTTGAGAGAAGATTTTTGTAAAAGTTAACGGACGACGACGACGGACGACGGACGCCAAGTGATGAGAAAAGCTCTTTTGGTCCTTTGGGCCGGGTGAGCTAAAAATCAGTAGCAATCAGTGGCTTTACTCAAAAGATCGGTACGAGGCACAAAAACAACTAACATAAAAACAATTGAATAAGCACAGAAATAAGAGTACTCGCAGTTACTGAAAGATGGTTCAAAGCCAGTTACAACTACTAAATAAATCATGTTCTCCCAGATTAAAGAATCAATCAATACACATCCAACGGGTTAAGTATAGAGACGTCGCAAATAGTCGGGCATATAATTTGGTACGCCAGACGCGCGTTTCGTCTACACAAGACTCATCATTGTCACTCGAATCAAAACAGTTGCAAAACCAAATCAATTTTACGAAGTTGAAGATCATTAATAACCGAAAATTCCGTCTATTTATGAAGATATTTTGCTAACCTATTCTCGTCTGTCTCATTGAGGCATTCAAAAAGCCAGAACAAGTACAATTTTCGTGATATTTTAAGTAATCCATACAGTTTAAGCTATTAAAACATTGATATTTTTAAAGACTCAGTTTGACTCTCAGTCTACGTGTTCTTTTATTATAAATGTGACCAATTGTTTCGTTGTTTTAATTTTTTTATTGTCTTTAATGAAACATCATCATCTCTGTTGTAACTTGTATGTGACTTTGTGATGGTAGAACAATCAAATGTTATCCTCGGTTAAATGTTACCGAGAATGTTACTTACGTGGCCTATTCCCGTGATGAGTTACACCCTCGAGATCAACGTATTCATTTGGAACAACTCCATAACGAACTGACACATTAGTTCTCAAATGATTTTGTCCAGTTACATTATTTGTCTGGTACGACAAATTGACTGGATCTGTTGTATTTCTTCTCTGGCGTCGTCTTTGGTGCAACCATAACACACCAGCTATAACCAAGATAACCAATAGCAGTGTTACCAACGTATACAATATGACTGAACCAACATATGTTTTTGGATCTGAAATATATATAAAGCAATCGTAATAATATACTAATTCCAATTAGTCATGATATCATAATGTCCTAGTAAATCAAAGTTAAGTATTAGAACACATATTAATTTACTTTCTAGCTCTTATACCATTTGCAATTATGCAATATTCTGTCATTGTTCCCGATATATGGAGTACGAACATGTAGTGTTATGCATTTTTGCTTTCGTGAATTTTATTATTTTATTTGAGCAAATGTCTGTTGTCACCTCTTGAATACGTTCGATAGTGATCCCAGAATTTAATGCAAACATGAAGTGTTTAGAACATTGTTTGGATTTTATTCATTAGCTTTTTAAAATGAATATATAATGAATATGTTTGCCACTATTTGTAGCAGTATATAAAAAAAGACCTCTTAAAACTCCCAAAGTTAAAATGTATTGGTTTTGGCTATTCTTTTAGTATAAATAAGAAGATGTGGTATGAGTGCCAATGAGACAACTATCCGTCCAAGTCACAATGTGTAAAAAGTAAATAAATAGAAGGTCAAAGTACGGCCTTCAACACGAAGCCTTTGCTCACACCGAACAGAAAGCTATAAAGGGCCCCAAAAAGACTAGTGTAAAACAATTCAAACAGGAAAACCAACGGTCTAATCTATATAAAAAAGGAGAAAGGAGAAACACTTATGAACCACACCAACAAACGACAACCACTGAAAAAAAGGCTCCTGACTTAGGACAGGTGCATAAAAATGCAGCGGTTTTAAACGTTTTCACAGGCGCCAATCTTCACCCTAACATAAAAGAGTGGTATAACCTTACAACATAAAAAGACACACAATAAAATATCAATTGAAATGGCTTAACTCGAGCAAAAAGACAATACACAAAAACAAGTAAATATACACTGAACGAATAAGTTTGATCTTCGACACAATATGAATAAAAAAGATGTTTCAATGTCAAAAAGACAACTTTAACCTTGGATAAAATGGCGTTAAATAAAGTAACGTACACAGGTAAATTTAAATATAATAATTTTGTTGTTAGGAGTACAGAAACATTTTTTTACAAAATAAATTTGTTATTCATAGTACGAGTACAGAAGTGAAATTTTTTTTCGTCATACTAAATACTTATCAAAGGTGGTACACAAAATAAGTAAACATTGAATAACAGAAATGAATTACAAATTGTGTCAACAGGTCAAATTAACACGATTTGAGAGTACTCGCAGTTACTGAAAGCTAGTTAAAAGCTATGACATCACTACACACACAGGCATAACGAACGAGTTGGGATATATAAATACCGTATGATGGAGCTAAAGGAATATCGCCGTCTAGAAAAGGAAAATTAACTATAGAGAATGAAAAATCGTCTCTTTTGTCGTAAATTTTTGTATGGAGTTTCCCTTTAGAAATTGAAATGTCTAAATCTAGAAAAGGACAACTACTGCTGTTTATGTTAGATTTATTTGAAGTAAGTTCCTTTGGATACATTTCGGTAGTATATTTAGACAATTCTGGATTATTTAATGAAAATATATTATCAAGATAACAGTAGGTATTGTTGAATGTGTCAACTAAATGTAACAATGACGTGTCTTTACTGATTTTGGCCATAAACTGTGATTCATAGCAATATAGGAATAAATCTGCTATTAAAGGGGCGCATATAGTGCCTAAGGAATACCTTCTACCTGTCGATACACTTTATCGCCGAAACGTACATATATGTTGTCCAGGAGAAAATTTAAAGCTTCAATCATATCTTCACATTTCCAGTAAGTGTATCTAGCATACTTTCCTTTTTCGTTACAGAAAAAGGCTTTGAACGAGTTACAGCAAATAAATTTGCAATGAGATTTTTCAAAAGACCATTTAATTAAATACGAAAACTTTTTCTTGATAAGATTGTGTGGAAGTGTAGTGTAGTGAGTAGAAAAATCATAACTGTCAACAGAATTAAAAGGACCATCAATAGCACGTATTTTATCTAAAACCTGTAAAGAACTTTTAACACTCCAAAAATAATTAGTACCATTATTTTCATAAACTTTATTACAAAAGTTAATAACAAGTTCTTTGATAGTAGAATGGAAGGTAGTTTGAAGCACTGACAGATTAGTAGAAGAACACTTACTAGATGCGGATGCGGAGATGAAACGGAATTCAAATGGTTGTTTGTGTAATTTAGGTAACCAGTACATAGTCGGGAATTTCAAATGTTCGAAAGAGGCTTTAAGCTGGGTAGTGGCAGTGATATGCTTGTTTACAATTTGACTCTCTGTGGAGCGTACGGACCTGAATGAAGAAGAATTGATAATTTCGTTTTGGAAAACTTCCGTGTAGTATATGCGTCACAACACCACTACATTATAGGCTGCTTTGTCTGCCGGTACGAACACAAACCGCTTTGCGAGTACTTGGAGTTTATTTTTTATTCTAGAAATGGGTATATCATGAACCCTATTATTAATTTCAGAATTGTTGTCAAAATGAGATATACGAATATAACAGTATTTATAATTTAATTCAAATAACTTTCTAGAGATTTTTTATCAGATTTTTCACGTTTACACCCCATTTTCACAGTAGGCAGACAGAGCGTCTTTAATGACCTGACGACACTGTTTCCAATCTATAATAGATGGAGGACGATATTTAGGTCTTTTCTTAAGAAAAGTTTTGACCTCACGGTTGAGATCTCATGTAATGACATGACCATAGGGAACATATCTAAAACTAGTGGAAGGAGCATTATTTTCTATATTGACGTCTGATGTTACTGACGTATTATAAAAAATCAAACTTCTGCTGGGTTTATTGTTCTAATACGAAATAAAACGTGGTTCTGTATTATCTAAATATGGAGGTATTTGGCTATGGAAAGTAAAGTCATTGAATATACTAGATACGTTAATAAAATCAATACCTCTTTTTATATATTTTAATTTTGAAAATTCCGTTGATGATTTTCAGGTTTATCGATACTAGGAAACAGCCTGTGATGACAAAAGGCTGTAATAATACGGTAGTATTCATACAACGGGCTGAAGTCACACCCAAGTCACAATGTGTAAAAAGTAAACAATCATAAGTCAAAGTACGGCCTTCAAGTATTCAACCAGTGGTGTCAATTAGATGTGGATTCTCAAAAATTCTAAAGATCTACTGCTAAATCTTAGATCACAATCTCTGCAATTTTGCAGCAATATTATGACCTTTGATTTTTCTACGCTTTACACTACTATTCCCCATGCTCAATTGAAAGATCGACTTCATCATCTTATTAAACAGAGCTTTTTCTATAAAAATGGGAATCGTAGGTATAAATTTCTTGTTTTGGGTTATATTAATTCTTATTTTGTGAAGAACCACACTGTTCTATCAGAAAATACACTGAAGATGATATTATCAAAATGCTGGACTTTTTAATCGACAATATATTTGTTGAGTTTGGAGGATTGATATTTCAACAGACAATCGGTATTCCAATGGGTACTTATTGTGCACCCCTTATGGCCGAATTGTTTTTGTACTCGTACGAAGCAGAATTCGTTCAGAACCTTCTTAAAGACAAAAAGAAAAAGCACCTTGCAAAATTCTTTAATTTTACTTTCAGATAAATTGATGATGTCCTATCACTGAATAACCCATATTTCAGTCAGTACTGACATCTCATATATCCCAGTGAAATTGAAATAACGGATACTACTGATACTAGAAGGACTGCTTCATACCTTGATCTTTTCCTCAATATTGACGACTTCACACTAAATTCTATGACAAGCGGGATAATTTCAACTTCCCAATTATCAATTTCCCATTTCTCAGCAGTAACATACCCTCTCCTCCGTCGTATTGTGTTTACATACCTCAATTGAAACATTATGCTCGTGCATGTTCACACTATACGGACTTCATATACAGGTGTGTGCTCCTTACGCAGAAACTGTTCCAACAGAGTTATGAGGAGGAAAGATTAAAAATGACACTCCGTAAATTTTATGGACATCATCACGAATTGGTTGATCTATACGATGTGTCTGTGTCTAAACTAACTAATAACATTTTTACCACGTGTTAGATTGTGGTTCAACATCTATGTCGTCTGTCTTCTAAGTACTGAACGTGACCTATTCCAGAATGTGACTGTTTTGCCGAGTGTGAATTTGCATTGCTATACGACGTGTCTCGGTATTTATACACCCAACATTCAGGTTTTTTTTTTTATGTTTCTGTTGTGGTTTCGGTTGGATATTGTGTGATGTCTAATCGTTTGTGGTTTGAATTTTGTATTTTCGGTACATTTCGCATATGTCTAATTTGTCAGTACAGTCGAGTTAATTTCCATTTTCCATGGATAAAGTATTGTGTTAGTCCAAATAATTATGACGTCATCACAGCATTTATCTAAAACAGCCTTTCAATACCGTTATAGTCATGATAATTGTTTGGACTAGTATTGTGAAAATAATTGTATGAGTTTCAAGATTATATAGTCGTTACAAAAATGCGTCACTGTTTGTGATGTCCTGTGCTGTCGTTAATGGAAGATGTTCGTTGTTATTCTGCTTTTTACATGTTGTAACGACTATTATATTATTTATTTGTGCGTTTCTCTGTGCTGAGTGTTCATGCGTTTGTTTGTGCTGTATTTCTGTCACGTAGTGTTGTCATCTTAGCGATATTTTGTAACATTGCCATTTAAGCGGGAGGTTTGGCTAGCCATAAAACCAGGTTCAACCCACCATTGTTTTCTTAAAATGTCCTGTACCAAGTCAGGAATATGACAGTTGTTATCAAATAGTTCGTTTCTATGTATGTTGGCGTTTGTTTTTGTTGCACTTCAGTGTTTCTGTTGTTCCGTTGTTTTTCTCTTATAGTTGATGTGTTTCCCTCGGTTTTAGTTTGTAACCCGGATTTGTTTTCTCTCAATCGATTTATGACTTTTGAACAGGGGTAAACTACTGTTGCCTTTATTTATTGTCTGATACTTTTGGTATTTCAAATTATCCTTTTATATGTATTTTGGGGGAATTTTATGTGTTTGAAAATATGTGAAAATTCACATTCTAAGAAAGTTTGCATTTTCCAATAAGGAATGTAAAATAGTAAGAAACATACTATTTGATGTCATTTTTATCTCGTCTGATGTATTTCGAAAAGCTCTTATCCATACTTTTATCGACGAATGAACAACGTTGGTTGTTTGTTTTTGCAATGATGTAATGTGAATGTATTTTCCGCAATATCTTTTCTTCTTATCCACTTTTCTTAAACAGTTATACTCCTGAAAGAATAATACAATATAAGAAATAAAGATGATATATAGCAACGATATTTGCATTGCGCTCAGTAACATATTTATAATAATTAATATGTATCATTGTCAAAATCGCATGCAAACAGCTTGTAACAAACAAAATACACAAAAAGCCATAAAGTTAACCCAACAAATTATACAACAATCATTTCATCAAGAATCCGTTTCATTTTTTGTGATCAGTTCCATTGACCGTTTATAAAAAGGACCCTAGATTTTTTATATATTCTTCCGGTTGAAAATTATATTGTAGCTTATTTTTTTATAAGTGAAACTCTTAAAGTCACTATTTTGAGAACCCAAAATAGACAAATAATTCGTTTTAGTATTTGGTATTAAGTGTCACAGATGAAAACCGATATTTATGTATGTTCCATGTGTCACCTTCCATATGAGCAACACGACGGTTGTAACTAATTGAACAGGAACGTCCTACCTTTCCGGAGCACATATTTAACCCCAAATTGTAATGTGGTTCATGTTGCTCAATGATTAGTTTTCTGTATAGTGTTTAGTGGACCGTTGATTGTCTCTTGACCATAGAGTCGTCGGTTTTTACTCCATTAGCTATCAATACTAAACCAACCTTATCTTTAGTACGGATAGTGAAATAAGGGGTTTGTATCAATTCGCCTAAAGCTAGATGAGACATGCGCAGTGGTGGAAGATATCTGGTATAAACATAGAAAATGAATATGTTAAGCAACAATGAAAAATACAATATCCGTTTCCTATACCCAAACGTCTGCGGTCAAGAAATCAAAACAAAGGTTTTGCTGGATTTTTTTTATTGGACCATGATTAAACCACAATCTCGTCCTACCTTCCTCGGTTTCTTTACATCACCGAATACGAATTATCGCTAGGTTTTACCGAGCAACTCGACGCTTGTAACTTATGATAACCATTCTGAGCACTTGAGTTATCATACTTACTTTGGCCTTTTTAACGTTTCATATTCGAGCTTCATTGATGAGTCTTGTGTAGACAAAACCACAATGACTCGGTAATCAGATATTCATTTTTGTAATCATTGGAATTTTATTTTTTTTTGTATTTCCTGTCTAATCGTATTAAATTATCAACGATGGCGCCAAGATTTGTATGTTTACTAGTAATGTGCAGTTTACTGTCTATAGTTTATTCAATATAAAAACATAGATATATATCCGCTAACCGAGTCCCAGTGGAAGAAAACACGTCTGGCGTGCCGATTTAAAGCCTGGTATGTATCTATAATGAGTTTATTTACCCCGAGTTTCAGTAGGATACGTGTTGCTTTATCTTAGTAGGGCCCCGTCGAGTGCCCTATATAAATCACTATGTATGTCTGTCCCTCAGCACCTCTTTGTAATACGATAGACCAGACTGCCTGAGCAGATTGATAAATGTATTTTTTGTTGTTTTTTTTACAAATGTGAGATACACCATTTGATTTGAACATAAATTGATATAAAGTCCAAAGTATAATATGCTTTCTTAATTTCTCTTGGTGTCAAAAGTTATTTACCAAAAAAATTAAAAGTGTAGAACAGGTTCGGTGAAAACTCAGTTTTTGTTAAAAAAACACAAAATCTGAAAAATGTCTTTCCATGCTAGGATTTTAACAACAATTGATATATAGCTGTAATAATCTATTTCAAAGTGATTTAAGATGTCATAATTGAAATTAAAATTGGCACAATATCATTTTTTGGTTCAAGAAACACATTTTCAGCAACATTTTTCTAAATGCTAGAATTCAACATAAATTGCTAATCAGATATAATATGCTATTCCAAATTGTTTCTCGGTGTCAAATATGGGGTAAAAAGAGTTTGTGTGGAAAAATCTCAGATTTTGAGTAACACGTACATTTTCGTGTAAGGAATTCAACAAAAATTGTTAAATAGGTATAATATGCATTCAAAATGTTAAGGTGTCAAAACTGTTGTTTATATACATCTAATTATTCATTGCATGCGAAAGCAGACTGAAATTTTGTATGAATTTTGATTGTTTTACAATTTTTTTGTTTTGGGTTTTGCTTGGCGTCGAGTTTTGGAAAACCTTTATTGTTTGGTAGCTGTCTAAATAACAATATATTCCTTATCTCCTGCAACAAAAATGTATGAAGAGGAAAATGTTATACCTTAAAACCGGTACCGTTATATCCACCACGATAGTCTATCCGTAATATTATTTGACCTACACATTGTAGCTCAATGACCTGTGCACACACTATGTCCATTGGATTACTGCCGGTGAATGGCAAAATACATCTGTCATGTTTTCCAAAGCAAAATTTATTTCTACATTCTACTTGGTATGTTGAATCAAAGTTCACGTATCTTAATTTTCCACATCCCGAGTCGAAGAAATCTGAAAAATATCTGAGTACTTATACATTAAACTAGTAATCGATTATCATTTTGGTGGCGTCTTTGTTGGATTTATTTATATGCTTGTTTTAATTTTTTAGTCAGTTGTGTTGTATGCCTGTGATGTATGTTTACACAGTTTTGGCTGCTGGGTCACAATTATTGTCACCTATTATGTCTGTTTTGGTTGCTTACCCAGTTTTGTCAATGTAACTGAACGTACAGCCGACTATACGCGGTATGGGTTTTTCTCATTGTTGAAGGCCGTAGGGTTGCCTATAATTGCTTACCTCCACTTTATTTGAACTTTTGTGGATAGTTGTCTCGTTGGCAATCATACCACATCTCCTTATTTTTACATAAACAATTGTCAATCAAATGGGAGGTAAATTTATCTATAAAACCAGGTTTGTCCAACCATTTTCTTCGGAAAATACCTGTACCAAATCAGGAATATGACGGTTCCTTTGGTTGATAAAGTCTAACGTTTGATTTTGTCAGTTTTTATGGACTTTCCCGTTTGAATTTACTTTATTGCTATGTATTTGGTTATACTTTTTCATAATTTTTCAACATGACATGTATACTCCGATGTTTATCTGTGATCTTGAATGCTTAACATTTAGCTTTGAGTACAACTGAACGGGGTTCGAAAGTTCCATACTTTTCGATTAATTATTGGAGTTACTTAGTTTATTTTTATGCCCTATAACATGATTTTGCTTCGTCCATCTCGCAATCATTATAATCGCTTCATTAAATAATGCGATACTTAATCTACGTTAGAATTTGACTTTTAATTATTTTGGTCTCCAGCATCCCTGTCGAAATGCGCATCAGGTGCAGTAAAATTGGTACCGGTTCATGTGATTAATCTATAAAGCACCTACAAATGATAAAGTGTCTGATTGATGTGTACATCGTTCATCTTAGTTTAAGCATTAAAAAAGTAAAACAAAATATTTCAGAAACTTATAATAACTTACCATAGTGCATCTTCTCAACATTTCCTGGCAATAAAGAGAAAAAGAATATGATAAACTACTTTTGCAATAGAATTAGTAAATGTACTACTTAAAAACAGTTTATATGCCCTACTTCATTCATAGTTATAAGTTTCATATTGAGTGATAATTGGATATCGCTTGATATTGACTCGAGTTATTTAATTTCAATATAACAATAAATATAAGCCTTTACCGATTTTTTTTTTGTAAAAAATATATTATCCAAATCAAATATTAAAGAGAGTTGATGTGAAGTAATGTCAAATTTTTACGAGATGTTAAATCTATTTCTCTTATATTAAAAATATCTTTTTCCTGGGAAAAAAAATATTTCGCAAGCTTCACTTCACATATGTCTGCTGAATGAAATACTGAAACCAGAAACAGATAATACTTTTTATATGTCTCTGAAATAGCATATCATATTTTGCCCTAAACCCGGAATACTTTTTACATCCGACTTTTTCAAGCTTTTGTACGCTTAAGAATGAATCAAATATGACAAAAAGAATATTTTCAGGAGAAACAAGCGAATGGTTTGTATATTATTGAAGAAATAACAAATCTCCGTTGACAAGGGGAAATGTGACAGCCATCTTTGACCAACCTATTGGGCAATTATTCATATCATACTTCTTACAGTGTGATACAAAATATATCACTTCATGCGGGAAAAAGATAACAGACCGTTGTCATTTCATTTATACATGTTCATGTTATAATAAAATAAGAGGAAGAACAGACACACGCACTATTTACACACATCTATATAAGTTTTGAGATTCTCGATCTGAAATAAGTATAATGATAGAGGGGTAAATTGATGTGTGACGTCCGTCAGGAAATGTTTCAATATCCAGGATGTAATATAAGCAAAACCTTGAATTCTACTTCACCTATACGCTGGTTTGGAGATTTTTGTGTAAGTTCTAATGGTAAGACTCCACAACAGGTCTCATCTGGACACATTAATCTGATAAATCAATAAGGAAATGTGGTATCAGCAGCAAGAAAACTATCCACCACATTAAGCGGAAATAAGCAACTATAGGCCAACGTACGGCCCTTAATAATTAGTCCCCGTCACCTCTGGAGACATTATTCTGAGTCAATAATGACCAGTCTTTTTTTCTTTTCCCTAAATGTCGCGTGTAAGGCCAGGGAAGCGAATCATATCCATTTATGCAACATGCAAGTCGAATTTGCTAGTACCATAAGATCGAGGCAGTATAGAGTATTCAATCAATAATACTTACGATAGAAAAAAAAAGTTAAGCATTTTTAAGGCATTGGCGTATGAACAGTTTGTACAGTTAACGCACTAGACGACAGATTTAATGTTAATAGAATGGGGAAACATCAAAAGTTAATATAAAGAGGGAAAGCGGACAGCAAATAAGCAACCATGAGAATGTATATAAAATGAAAGATGTAAGACTTACCTTTTTTAAATTTTTCTTTTTATAGATTTTATAGATTTTATGATATTAATGACAATCATGATAAGTCGTTATGTTTTACATACCATTATGGCTTTCTGCTTTCTGGCTTAACACAAGAGAAACAATCACCAATATCAGCACGTATGAATCCATCATCAGGAACTTCAAAAAGTTTGTGTGGATGATAACAAACAACATATTTCATACTGCATTCCTAAAAAAGATAACGAAACAAATAGAACAAACTTACAAAATATGTAAAAGTGGAAAATATTATGGCAAATAACTTATACATGCTTTACAGAAAACCAATAAACATCCAAAATATCCACCGCATCTTCCGAGAATTAAACATAGGACTCTTGACACAGTGAGCCACATCTTTTATATGTGGAAAGTTATAAGCGATTTACATTTAATTATATGCCAGAAAAGTCGAGATCACTCATTAGTGTTTTGTGATATGCCATTACAAAGCATAAAGCAATGTTCAATTCAAGGAACGGAGCTGTTAATCAAACCGAAAATAAAAAGTGTCCACGATCACTGTCGAATATCTGTATACTAAAGACATCAGTAACAAAGTTCATGGAACAATTCTAAATTCTAAATACGTACGTCTAAGGATATATATGTATTACACATACTCCGAAATACAGAGAAATGGAAAATAAGTTAAAAGTTTACAATTTTATATTTGTGAGAGAAAAAAATATAGGCATAAGCTGTTACAGTACTGGAATGATATTATGAGTGACCAATGAAATACAGTTGTTGTTGTCGAACAAAAGGCTTAATTGTTGTAGTTCTAATTTTATTAAACGCTCACTTAAGAAAAAATGTTATTCAGGGAGAAATAAATGACGGTAAATTGAAAGATTGAACACAAAAAGAACCGACGACGGAAAATAGAGGATAAACCCTATATTCAAATCAACAAGATTGTTTTTGCTATCGATAGGGAAAATTAGATTGTTTTCCATATGCGATTATAAATGATGATTGGACAGTTCAGACCGATAAGTCGAAGGTTCTGGAACGATTAAAAAAAAACGCTTAAGTTTAAAACATTACTTTTAAAATCAGTACACCGTTACGCGATATACCAATAAATCCCAAGAACGTTACTATGGTACTCGAACCGATCAGGAGAAAAGTCTTGTAAGCTATTTTATGTGAGAAAAACACGAGGACGACATTTATAATTGATGACATTCCTGCTGAAGTGTTGAAAAATGAAACGGTTTTCGATCTTCTGTATCGGACTATTTATGGATGTTTCGTTTTCGGTAAAGTGCCCTCCTAAAGGACTATGGGTCATTAAATGAATTATGAAACCAAACTCTGACGATTATCTGAAACCTATTCATTTTGTAAAATTTGGTATATTGTTTTAAACATGAGACTTAGTAAATGATTAGAAGATGATGAACGCTTATGTGAAGAACAAAATGAATTCCGGAAACACACTAGAGAAGCTGTGAAGACCACAATTATATCTAACTTTAAGCAATAGGAAAATCTCAAGGAAAATCAAACATTGCATGTATCATCAACACGAAGAGAGATTTCGATACGGTTCATAAATTGCAACTTTCTGTTATACGCGGAAAGTTTTTTTTATTGCTTTACAGTCTCTTTGTACAGGTGTCAAGTATATTGTCCGTGTTAGTAATAACTTAACTCCGTGGTTCTAAGTCACGAGCGGCGTGAAACAGGAGTGTATCTTTGCGGTTCTTCTATTTTTATTTTACATAAAAGCAGAATGAGTAAATGTTCTGAAATGTGGGGTGGCACTATTATCATTAGTATATATCTATACGCTGAATTGATGATGATGTATTACTTGCGCAGACGAATTAAGTTTCCAACATTTGATGAATGCATTAACATAATTATGTAAAAATGAGACTTTGACTAAAAAGGGTGATTGTTCATTTCAGATCGGCGTCGAAGAGAATTCCACATAGTTCTTAAATCTGCAGTAGACATGCCATACTTAACTCGAATAATTCAAGCCATTACCGTCTCCGATTCTCTCCACCTTTCGAGGTTACGACTGGATTATTCGGGTTATGCCATACTATACACAATAAAATGCTCCGCTGGGCGCAGCTTGATACGACCGCAGAGGTCGAACCCTGAACAGTTGGGGCAAGTATGGACACAACATTCAAGTTTGATACAGCACTGAATTTGGATTGTAATTAAATAACTGACACAGCATAGGTTTCGGACACAGAATGAATGTGGTCTAAGAACTTAAAAATTTTTAATTTACCTATTCAAACCATATCATTATTATTTGTTTTTATATATAATTCAGAAATAACCAATTTAAAATGGAAAATTTTAAAGAAAAAAAAGGAAAAAAAAAATCCCCCCCCCCAAATTTTTGAACCCCCTTATGATTCATCACCCCCAAACTCAATCCCAGCCTTCCCTTTGTGGTATGGTCCTTTGCAGTACAATTTCAGAGAGTTCCATACACTTGAACACAAGTTATTGTCTGGAAACTAGAAAAATGCTTGTTTTTGGCCCCAAATTCCTAACCGTTTAGGGCAATAACCCCCAAACTCAAACCCAGCTTTCCCTTTGTGATATGGAACCTTGTAGTATAATTTCATAAAGATCCATACACTAACACACAAGTTATTGTCCTGAAACTAGGAAAATGCTTGTTTTTTTGCCCCTTTTTTTGCCCCTAATTCCTAAAATTTTGAGGCAATTACCCCCAAAATCAATCCCAGCCTTCCCTTTGTTGTATGGTACCTTGCAGTACAATTTCAGAGAGATCCATACATTTGAACACAAGTTATTGTCTGGAAACTAGAAAAATGCTTATTTTTGTCCCCTTATTCCTAAACGTTTTGGGCAATTACCCCCAAACTCAATTCCAGCTTTCCCTTTGTGATATGGAACCTTGTAGTACAATTTCATAAAGATCCATACACTTACAAGTTTTTGTCATGAAACTAGAAAAATGCTTGTTTTTTGCCCCTTTTTTGGCCCCTAATTCATAAAATTTGGAGGTAATTACCCCCAAAATCAATCCCAGCATTCTCTTTGTGATATGGGACCTTGTGGTACAATGTCAGAAAGATCCATACACTAACACACAAGTTATGTCTGAAAGTCACAAAAATGCTTATTTTTGGCCCCTTTTTGGCCCCTAATTCCTTAACTTTTGGTACCATAACCCCCAAAATCAATCCCAACCTTCCCTTTGTTGTATGGTACCTTGCAGTACAATTTCAGAGAGATCCATACATTTGAACACAAGTTATTGTCTGGAAACTAGAAAAATGCTTATTTTTGTCCCCTTATTCCTAAACGTTTTGGGCAATTACCCCCAAACTCAATTCCAGCTTTCCCTTTGTGATATGGAACCTTGTAGTACAATTTCATAAAGATCCATACACTTACAAGTTTTTGTCATGAAACTAGAAAAATGCTTGTTTTTTGCCCCTTTTTTGGCCCCTAATTCATAAAATTTGGAGGTAATTACCCCCAAAATCAATCCCAGCATTCCCTTTGTGATATGGGACCTTGTGGTACAATGTCAGAAAGATCCATACACTAACACACAAGTTATGTCTGAAAGTCACAAAAATGCTTATTTTTGGCCCCTTTTTGGCCCCTAATTCCTTAACTTTTGGTACCATAACCCCCAAAATCAATCCCAACCTTCCTTTTGTGGTATTGAACCTTATGGTAAAAATCCATTCACTTAAACTAAAGTTAGTTAGTGCGAAAACCAATGTGTCTTCGGACGACGACGACGACGCCAACGTCATACCAATATACGACCACAAAAATTTTTTTGCGGTCGTATAAAAATAAGGAGATGAGGTATGATTGCCAATGAGACAACTATCCACCAAAGTTCAAATAAAGTGGATGTAAGCAATTATAGGCAACCGTACGGCCTTCAACAATGAGAAAAACCCATACCGTATAGTCGGCTATAAAAGGTCACAACAATTCAATTGAGTAAACTAACGGCCTAATTTATAACAAAACAATTAACGAAAAACAAATATAACAAACTTGAACCAAAGACAACCACTGAACTACAGGCTCCTGACAGGCAAATAAAGAATGTGGCAGGGTTAAACATGTTTGTGAGAGCTCAACCCTCCCCTAACCTGGGACAGTGGTGTAACAGCACAACAATAAGAACACACTACAAAAATCAGTTGAAAAAGGCTTAACTCATCAGATCGATACAAAGCAGAAAAACATCAAACATAAACACATACCGGACGTGGCAGGTAATTTATCCATCCCTCATCCCTAACAACAAAAAGTACACTAAGTATAGATCTGAGAGTACTCGCAGTTACTGACAGCTAGTTCAAAGCCAATAACAACTAACAAAAAAATTATGTATCTAAGACTTTCCCTTACTGTTAATGACGTCTTTACACTAAATCCATTGGATGTTGGATGTGTACTGATTGATATTTTAGTCTTAAATGCGTGATTTGTTTTTATTAATTGTTATTAACTTTGAACTAGCTGTCAGTAACTGTGAGTACTCTCAGATCTGTACTTAATGTCTTTTTTATTTTGGAGATGTATAAGTACCCTACCACGTCCAGTCTGTGTTTTTGTTAGATGTATTATTGCTTTGTATCGATCTGATGAGTTAAAGCCTTCATAACTTCATAATTCAACTGAACATTTCAGACATCATGCTTAGAAAATTTTCTATTTCTTCTGACTTTACATTGATTCCAGTGTAAGTTGTAAAGATAAACAAAATAAAACGTTGTCGTTGGTTGCTTTCTGTCATATTAGTATTCGTTTATTTCTTAATCGCAAATCAGCTAGTTGGCTTTTGTTTAAAAAAATAAACTTATTCATGTCATTTCAGGGCCTTTTAAACATCACTACAGATATGAGTTTTGCACATTGTTGAAGGCTGTACGGTGACATTTAATGTTTATATCCAAGTTATTTGGTCTCTGGTATATATCTATCACAATGACAGTTATACCACAGCTCCGTTTACGTTCAGTTGCAAATATTTCAGGCATGTTCAGGACGGAAAGAAATTATAAATAAATACAATAAGTAGGTCTGTAAAAAGGGACGACCGGGATTAAGGGAATTTTGAAAAGGAACACAATTAAGCCTTCATGCAACAAGCCACCTACGGACCACTCAAAGAGTTGTTGCAGGGGTTCTTAACGTGCAAAGAGCGCGACA